TATTTATCTGAAGACAGAATTTGGATCTGACCTTTCTTTTATTTCGGTTGTATTCGGTCAATTACATTACGTATTCGTATTAGAGACACGCTGACTATCCCCGGTCGTCAATTCTCAATATTTGATTTAGAAATATCTAAATTACGAGCTTAAACTTAATTTTATCAATTTAATAGGACCTGTATCGCTCGGGGAATGTTAGCTTTTCCTGATTGACGATCAACGGCTTGTTGCTGTATGTAATTTTCACATACAGTGATCATTTAGTGAAAAGGAGGCCACACATAAGAGCTAGAAACTCTTAAATATAACTTATTAGCGGACTTAATGGCACGAAGTTGTATTGAATCGGACTGACACCGAGATCAAGAAATATTATATACACTCACACAGATTCTTAACAATGACCAGACCACCGACCAAAAAAACACGACAGATCATCACCCCACGAAACTAACAACATCTAAATCTAGTAAAAGTATTTTTCGAAGTGGCGATTTGATTCTTATCCCTTAATTTATTTCAAATACATTAATACATTCAACCTAAATTAATCTCGCCCACTTTTCAGTTAAGATAATAGTGTATTTCACTTAACTAATTTCTTCTAAGTTCAGTGAATGTTGTCAGTTACAGGCGCAGTATTTCAAGGAAGTGCATTAAATTTAAATTGAGACAACAAAGGTTTGTTGCACCCCCCAGGGTCTATGGCCGGGGTCTAGACAGGGCCGGGCGAAGACGTGTAACAAGGGAACAGGTTGTCTACCGTCGCGACGCCTTTCGGTCGATAACACAAGAGCTCACCCGGGTTACATTGGTGTATCGACAATTTACAATTGACAAATGGACACNTATTTCAAGGAAGTGCATTAAATTTAAATTGAGACAACAAAGGTTTGTTGCACCCCCCAGGGTCTATGGCCGGGGTCTAGACAGGGCCGGGCGAAGACGTGTAACAAGGGAACAGGTTGTCTACCGTCGCGACGCCTTTCGGTCGATAACACAAGAGCTCACCCGGGTTACATTGGTGTATCGACAATTTACAATTGACAAATGGACACGGTGGCGTATAGGTAAGCACCTATCTTTCTAAAGTCATGAAAACTTTATGAACTTACACCGAAAGACAGTTCGGTGAATAAAAGCGTAATTGAGCGGTGGGTGGTGCAAAGGCAAAGTCAAGGGCAAAATATCTCGCGAACGATCTCCAACACGATGGAGCGACCTCATAGAATCCGTGACTCACGGCAACACAATTGATTGCTCTCACTCTGCGAAACACCGTGCCACATGGCGTCATATCGCGAAAGCATCGGTGTCGCAGGATCCAACTGATGCATGACCACGACCTCTGTCAAGAGTGTACGACTAGGAAGAAATCGATTTTGCTATTTTACTATTTTCTAACGACTACGATCAGAACAACCAGCACGAGCGGGCTTACCTCTTGTGAGTCCGCGCGGGTAGGTACCACCGCCCTGCCTATTTCTGCCGTGAAGCAGTAATGCGTTTCGGTTTGAAGGGTGGGGCAGCCGTTGTAACTATACTGAGATCTTAGAACTTATATCTCAAGGTGGGTGGCGCATTTACGTTGTAGATGTCCAGATGGGCTGTGAACTCGTCCACCCATCTAAGCAATAAAAAAAAACCTTGCTCACATACATACTTTGGACGCCTTCAGCTCTAATACTAAGAGCAGGCTTAGGGACCCCGGTAACTGTACTTGTCGAACTCGACAAAGAGGTCGACGTGCCACCTAACCCATGCATCAGCCCGCTGAGTTTCTCGCCGAATCTTCTCAGCGGGTCGCGATTCCGATCCGGTAGTAGATTCATTCGCGAAGCAATTGCTCTTGAGTTGTTAGGTCTCCTTCGGAGGCGCTCGGGCAATTGTTAGCAAATTCCACCCCTCCTGGCTGAGCCTTTGCTCGCCCACCTGTCCTGGTGAAACTGGAAAGGCCTTCGGGCCACCAGTAATCTTCGGTTTGAAGGGTGGGGGAGTCGTTGTAACTATACTTGAGACCTTAGAACTTATATCTCAAGATGGGTGGCGCATTTATATTGTGGATTGTGGATTCTATGGGCTCCAGTAACCACTTAACACCAGGTGGGCTGTGAGCTCGTGCACCCATCTAAGCAATAAAAAAAAACCGGCAATCGCTTAACGGTAATATACCACTGAACTACAAATACGAGTAGTAATTTAAAAATTTGCAGATGAAGATTAAAAGTTTGATCGTCGATACGCCGCGTGGGCGTTCACTGCTACATCGTTTAGTTGGATTAATGACCTAAATCAACTGAACTTAACTCGAACTCATGGCCCGGCGGTAGACCGCAGATTCCAGATTACCATATATACTTCAGTTTCTAATTCTCATAAACCATATCGGCCGGGGCGTAGTAGAACAATTTCGAAAGTACGACAGTGGCGTAGTCTTTCAAATCACACATTATTTCAAATAGTTTCTCGATAACCACAAAAAAGTGTGGAAAATTTTTACTTGAAATTTCAAAAAGTTCCACAAGAAATATTTATATATAGGTAATTAGTGATTCATACGATAGATAGTACCATAAATACAATTAGAAAAAAGTTGCAGTGTTTGTTTAAAACTAATAAATGAATATTTGTTCCTGTAGATATTATCAAGTAGATAAAAACCCTGAAGATGATTTAAGAGTATTGGCTACTTTATATATTACAACTGATATGAAGTTTCGGTGACACCCAAGTAAATCCTCGTGTCCAAAATGAATAGCACAAACAACAGTTTGTAGAAAAAATATGTTGTTTATTAACAACTGCTACATAGGTACCCATTTGGAAAAATTTGGCTAATTCAAATTTAGTTAGAAGGCACGATAAAAAATGTACATTATTATATTCTTCAGTTTTCACAGATCTTTGATTGTTTAAACTATGCAGCTCTTATGAAAGTTTTTATTGCCTTTGTAGGCAGACGAGCATACGGTCCACGGGATGGTAAATGGTTACCGTCGCTCATGGACTTCAGCAATGCCAGGGGCAGAGCCAAGCTGCCGCCTACCGCTTAATACTCTCCACAAGCCTCGTTTGAAGAAGGACATGTCATAGCGCTCGGGAAACACCGTGGGGGGGGGTTCATTCTAAATCAGAATGGTACGTGGCAGAAAAGATATTTGGAAACGCACTGTCGATAAACGCAGCGGTTCCAGATAATATGGATGAACTCTGCTCCAGTGGCGGGAGGTGTGATGATAAAAAGGAGATAAGGGATCATCTCGATTAATCTTTAGAGCTTTCCCCATGAAACATACCGTACAAAACACAGAGAGAACCAAAGTCCCTCTGTAGACCCAGAGTTCCAAGTGATCTGCAAGAATAGGATTATTGAAGATCCGAACAGCCTGTTTCTTTATGGAGTCAAATTGAAGTAGCTGGTATTTTGGAGCCTTGGCCCAGAGGCGGGAACAGTACTCCATGCGAGGCCAGACCTGGGCTTTGTAAAGTGCAAGTCATTGCCCTGGTGTGAAATACTGAATATGATAATGGACAACTCTTTAAAAGTGATTTTAATTATGAAAACCATTTTGAGAATTAATATATTTACACTGTGCTACAGTGTAGTGTAGTTACTTGATAAATAAAGTTGAATATTTATTTTAATTTTTTTATTTGGCATACAGTGTACTTGTGATGTAGTTCTGAGCAGAGGTATCTGTCATAGCTGCTTTTTTTGCTATCTATTTGCTGCTAGCCCAGGGGGCTATTTAATCTATTCCCAGACGAGTAGGTGAGCTCACAGGCTGAACCTGAGAGAATTTGCAAGAATTTGTAAGAGCAGTGCTTTTCAAAATCTACTAACGGATCGGAATTGTCACTGAGAAGATCCAGCAAGAAACTCATTTGCTGCTTTGGTAAACTTGTTTTGGTAAACTCATATGCTGCTTTGGCACACAGCAGTGGCCAAATTTACATCTGAGGATATCTTAATTGGTCTTTAAGGAGATTAGCAACCTAAAGTAGTTGGCTAGCTTCCGGACTTGAGGATTCAGGATGGCATTCATAAGAACTTTCCCACTCACTTTCAAATCAAGTACAATTTGAGGATATCAATTTACAGAGAACAGAGAGACACATTAGGCATGTCATGTCGTCTCATGCATATCAAGACATAATAAATAACATGATTATAGTTTATTCTCTTTTATTCAACCATATTATAAAAGGCAAAAAGTGACGAAATAACAGCCCATTTGGTTTTGAAGACCACTAGAGCCCATAGATGTTGCAATATTAATCCCACCGCCCTAATTATTAAAATAAAGTTGAAGTCACTTCAGAATTACTTTGAAGTAAGGAAATTTTAGCTTTCAATTATAAAGTTTCATTGCTTTGTGGCACAAATGATGAAGACAGTGGTAAATATATTGGGACTCACAATATATTTTGACTCTAAATATTTTACACATTCAAACAAATGATAAAAAAACAAAGAATCTTATTCTTGACTCTACTATAAGTCATGGTGATTTTAATAAGCTGAATGCCTTTTAAAATCGCCCAATGGTATTTTATTGGCAATATTAAGTTTTAAGAAATCACACATGGTTTCTAGAACGATTAAAGACAAGAAAATATTGCTTTCAATATAATTTTGTCTGCCATTTTACTATCAGTACCAAAGGAGGAGACCTTGCGTGTTAGAACTGTTTTCATTACTAAAAAGCACGTGAATTTGTTTCAACACGATAATGATGAGCCATTTTCTAGCATTTAGCGTAAAATAAAGTAGGTGGTTCGTGTGGTGTTTTTACGAGCTCGTACAATCAGCTGATTTCTTTGTTTGTCTGCCTCAAGCGAACTCGTCATTCAACTCAGTATTGTGACACGTCAGGACGCTTACCTATTACATAAACTAGCCTAAACTATCGCCAATCAATACAGGACCCCTTCGATATTCATTGGCGAATCGTATGAAAAATATTAATCTATAAACAAACCTTAGAATTTCTCACCTTTATAATGCACTCGTAGATTATTTTGCGACAGTCCGATGTAGCTGAACTTATCTTTAGTGCTCCACGCACGGGGTAAAGGAGTCTCTTCTTCATTCACATTAGGATAAAGCAATTTTAATCGATCTACAGTATCACTTTGCACTTGATTTTGGGAATCCATAGTTCCCCGTCCACTACCTATCGCAGCCATTTCTGATTTCCGTAATTTCATGTCATCTTTGTGACGTCACAAGCTGCGTTGGAAATGTCATGTAGATGGCAGCATAGTAGAAAGTTTAGTGCTAAAACCGATTTTAACCGAATGTTAACTTCAGGTATCGATTAAAATTTATATTTCCATACGTTTTTTCAACTTTTTGATACAAGTAGGTGGTTGAGCCTACGATACACCTAGTGTTCGTGTAATCCTCAAGACTAAATGGTATAATAAGGGTTATACCTTCAACTCCTTAAAGTGAAACAAATGCGCCTAACTACATAACGCCAAAACATAATCAGGTGGGCTGTGAGCTCGTCCACACATCTAAGCAATAAAAAAAAAAAAAAAAAAAAAAAAAAAAAAAAAAAAAAAAAAAAAAAAAAAAAAAAAAAAAAAAAAAAAAAAAAAAAAAAAAAAAAAAAAAAAAAAAAAAAAAAAAAAAAAAAAAAAAAAAAAAAAAAAAAAAAAAAAAAAAAAAAAAAAAAAAAAAAAAAAAAAAAATGAAGAAACAGACCATTATACAATTCGTATTATATATCACATTCCGTGTGTGCTTTAATTTTTTTATTATCTACATTTCAAAACTATTAGAGTACGGTAGCCTTTTTGCAGCATAGCATTTAGTAATTAGTTTATTTATTTGGTAGTGATGTGATGCCGATATAAGCAACGCCATCAGTCGTAAAATAGCAAAAACAGATATCGAAATAACTGGAACATCTCTTGAATGCTCTGGAACGTTTCTTCGGTTTCTCAGAACAATTCATGATTTTAGTTCTATGGGGAATGCTCTGTAAAATTGTAGACGCTATAGTTCTAAGCAAAAGCGAGAAACGGATCAACTAAAAAAAGCAAAGAATTGAATTGTTATAATAAAATTTACTCTTAGCTGTCGTAATAATGAAATTGAGTAAATAGTACTTCGGTGAAGAGATTTTATTGATCCCCACAGCCGAACTCGTAACAGTAATTTAATAAAAGACAAAATAAAATCTTGATGACATGTTTTACTGCTCTAAGTTCCTAATATACATATATATTCGATTCATAGTTTACCAAATAATCATCATATTACTTTTATAGATACTACCAATACTACCATTACTTTTTTTTACTGCTTAGTTGGGCGGATGATCTCACAGCCCACCTGGTGTTAAGTTTTTTTATTGCTTAGATGGGTGGACGAGCTCACAGCCCACCTGGTTTTAAGTGGTTACTGGAGCCCATAGACATCTACAATGTAAATGCGCCACCCACCTTGAGATATAAGTTCTAAGGTCTCAGTACAGTTACAACGGCTACCCCACCCTTCAAACCGAAACGCATTACTGCTTCACGGCAGAAATAGGCAGGGTGGTGGTACCTACCCGTGCGTACTCACAAGAGATCCTCCCACCAGTAACTACGCATATCAATACTTAGTATATTAGAATTATTTTAACCTCATCATAATAACAAAATGATTAGGAAGGTAAATAGGTAGAACAATATATTCAGTACTAGTGATAGATCAAGTTGCAAGAAAATCAATCGACGATCCTGCCAATATCTGGCGCAACAATGAAACTATTATTATGGTTGCGTGTGAAAAGTGAGACATTATTATTAAGATGTTAAGGCTCAAGATGGGAATCGACAATAACGTAGTAGGTAGGTAGTGCTAATGGGCCCCGGTATCCGTAATTATATGAACTTAAAAGATGAAACTAAAACTGTATTTTTAACTTGTATTACACTTAGAAGTCTTCGTGGCCTAAAAGGATAAGACGTCCGGTGCATTCGTATGTTGCGATGCACCGGTGTTCGAATCCTGCAGGCGGGTACCAATTTTTCTAATGAAATACGTACTCACCAAATGTTCACGATTGACTTCCACGGTGAAGGAATAACATACAATAACGTGTAATAAAAATCAAACCCGCAAAATTATAATTTGCGTAATCACTGGTGGTAGGACCTCTTGGGAGTCCGCACGGGTAGGTACCACCACCCCGCCTATTTATGCCGTGAAGCAGCAATGCGTTTCGGTTCGAAGGGTGGGGTAGCCGTTGTAACTATACTGAGACCTTAGAACTTATATCTCGAGGTGGGTGGCGCATTTACGTTGTAGATGTTTATGGGCTCTAGTAACCACTTAACACCAGGTGGGCTGTGAGCTCGTCCATCTATCTAAGCAATAAAAAATAAATAAATAAAACTTAACTCTACAAATTTTAATATTGATGAAAAGCCTAGTGCTTATCTGAGTTCTTATTGATTTTTCTTATCAACTGAATATTATCACAACAACTTCTAATTAGTGCCACTGAAACTTTCGTAAAATCCAAACCTGAACTGCGTAAAACCAAATTACAAAAATGAGTAATAGAAGATTTCCAAAATATTTAAAAGAACTTGAATATGAAATTTCTGCAAAGTTAAAACTAATAAGAAAAACCAACAGTGACTTACTGGAAATGAAGCAGCTGTACACAGATCAAGTTTTAGAGGTATTTGTATTATTAAAGAATTTGGTACTTTAGCACTTAAATTTAATAGACCTAGTTTTACATTTGGTGAGATTGGTATTGTAGCTTCCACATCAAAGTACGAATGATGCAAAGCTGTGATGAATTTCAATGTGAAGGGTAAGATCAGTTTTTATTTCACGAAAGCGGACAACAGTTTTTCGACAACAAATGACGCATACCTATATTGTAGCAAATGAGCACACGCCCCACTTATCGGTAAATGGTTACCGTCGTTAATGGACATCAACAGTGCCAACGACATAAACAAGCCGCTGCCTACCGCTGAATACCGCTACAGCAGTCGGAAAAAACCGTGGAGGGAAGATCACTTCAAAGCCAAATGATACATGGCAAAAAAGATCACTGGAAATTCGCTGTGGATGAACGCAGTGATTCTAGGAAGTTTGGATGAACTGTGGCGGTGCGACGGTAAAACTTCGACGGATTAGAGCTGATACGATAATCTCAAACAATTTCTCATAGCACTCCAGATGAAACATACGATACAAAACTTAGAAAGAACCGAAGTCACGTGTAAGCAATGTTTTTTGGTATCTATAAGCTGGAGAGCTTTTTATTAAATTGCGTTCAAACTTGGTACAGTTGTATGGCACTTTGGAAGGTTTCTGTCAGGCTAGCTCTCAAATATAAAGTGTATCATCTATGAGACTAGCTGTGCGTGACTTTTTTAATTCATAATCGTTATAACAAATAGGCTTTCTTTGCATTTTGCGACAGTCAGCAGTGGGCCGCTAGATGAATTACACAAAATACCGCTTTTCTTTTTGTATATTTTGAGCTTGGTATATTCATGGAACTTCCGAGATCCGATGGCATTTCGAGAGTTTTAGAAGAAGAGCGAAAGTACATACTATAGAAGTTTTTTTTATCTTTACAGATTTTTCGAACGGCGCTTCAATATTTAATAAGTCACACAGTTACGTATGCAACAGTGCTAAAAAGTATTAAAACTGCTTATGATAACGCTATAGAAATACGGGATGAAAGAATTTCACAGTTTATCGTACAAGATGTAAGTAGATGGTACTGTAGATGGTACTGGTACTAAGTACATGTTCTTTTAACAATACCTTAAGCTGGGACTATTTGCTTACTTAATAGACTTATTTGTTCGTGTTGTTCTCACGTATTTGTTCCGATTTAAATTAAACTTTGTACAGTTTATAATTAAGGCGTACTCGTTGATTTCCAATTAACATGAAGCTGGATACATAAAATGCGAAAAATGGCAGCCAAAGCCGTCGAAATAATTTTAGGTAAAATTCTATCTCTATCTATTCTCGGATGAAAAGTAACTTGCAAATTATCAAATCAGCCAATACTTTTCAAGAGGGAAGAAGTCAAATAGTTTATACACTTAATTAGTTATTAATTTGTGACGAAACCCAAAACAATCTTACACTGGAGAAAGTTAAGAACGAAGTTGTGTGAATAGTTTTATTTTGTTAATATAGTATTTTTTTGTGTTTAAACGTGTAATAATGGTGATTTATTAAGCGTTTAGCATCTGTGAAAGTGCACTAAAGTGGGAAAATGAAACAAAGACGATAGAAGTAGTGTATCGAGTTCTTTCAAAAAGCTCACCAAAGTCTGCAAAAAACTACTATTTTACTGAAACATTATTTCATCCCATCTCCTCTTTATTTAATTTCACCACGTTTCATTTAATTTCATTTCAATTAATTACAGTCTCCATTAAATCAAATTCACCTCATTTCGTTTTTTTCTTGTAACAGAATTTATTATAGATTAGGCTGTATGATGTGATGCCTTCGCCATAAATAATATTTATTTAAGTAATATTCGTTCTTCAGCTTTCCTGTTGGAAAATGGAACTTCCACTCATAGATTATATTGCTTCCACCATAGATTATACACTTAATATATTTGAGAGCTTCCACTACCTACCAACTGATTTCCATAAAATAACAATTTACAATATTTTTAATGTAGCTCTTTGTCTATTTAACTCGAATTTAACTTGAAGAGAGCAAAGAAATATATTTCTACATATTTAATATTATTTAATATTCCGTATTAGGTAGGAATTTAATATTTATAGATATGATATACATTATAGATAAATAAATAGACGCACCCCTATCAATACAGCTCCGCCGAGTACGGTACGGTACATAATTAAAAATAGTTTTAATTAGGTAGTCGTGAAATAAAGTGTATTTGCTGTAATCACAACGTATCAAACTAATGTAAAAAATTCGATAGGTGTGTTGCAATAATTTACGTACTATAAACTTATTCTTTTATGAAATAATGTCGAATTTTGAAGTCTCTTCAAAGGCAGTCTTTGTGTTGGATGGAGGATTCTCAACACAGTTGACCTGTCACGCCGGTCATACTGCTGATGGCGATCCTCTTTGGAGTGCACGATTTTTAAAGACACACCCTCAAGATGTTATTAACACACACCTGGACTTCCTTCGTGCTGGCTCTGACATCATCGAAACAAATACTTACCAAGCCTCCGTAGATGGATTTGTTAAGCATCTGAACTTAACTGTCGAAGAGAGCTACGAACTGATAAAAAGTGCTGTTGAATTTGCAAAAACTGCACGCGACTTATACTTGCAAGAATGCCAAGAATCAAACCTTTCAGGTCGGAAACCACTCATAGCTGGTTCGGTAGGTCCTTATGGTGCATATTTACATGACACATCAGAATACACCGGTAATTATGCTGATAATACAACAAAGGAAACCATAAAAAATTGGCATAGGACAAGAATTCAAGCATTAGTAGAGGCAGGTGTAGATATATTGGCGTTCGAAACAATACCATGCCAAAAAGAAGCTGAAGCACTTGTAGAAATATTAAAAGAATATCCTAATATGAAAGCATGGTTATCATTTAGCTGCAAAAATGAGACTTCCTTAGCTCATGGAGAAAATTTCCAAAATGTTGCCAAAAAATGTTGGAAATCAAACCCAGACCAGTTAATAGCCATTGGAGTCAATTGCTGCTCTCCGAAAATAGTGACTGAACTCTTTAAAGATATAAACAATGATCAAGAAACTTCCATACAATTTATCACATACCCTAACTCAGGAGAAACTTATGACCACAAACTTGGTTGGACTGAATCGGACAAATGTGAAAGCTTACATAATTTTGTTGCTGAATGGCTTGACCTTGGAGTTAGATACATAGGTGGTTGTTGTAGAACAAATGATGTAGACATTTCTAGAATACGCATTGAGACAGATCTTTGGTTGAAAAAAAACAGTCTATGAATGTATGACTTTTTCATTTTGCAATAATCTTTCATTTTAATATATATTTTTTTCTTTGGGTTTTGTTAAAAGAGTCGACTATTATCAAAGCCGGCAATGTGACTTTTGGACAATTATTGGTAAATCAGAAAAACGAATTATTGACTTTGTATTCCATTGGCAGTCACAAAACTCTTCTAATCGACATCTTAGATAAATAACAGTTTAAGTATTAACCTTTATTTAATGCAGGTTTTGAACCGTATTCTTTGAAGGAGACGATTATATTCAAATCAATCTGTATTGACATATCAATAACATTTTTTTGTCCAAATGCACAGATTGCCACCTTTGATAATAGACGACTCAAAACAAATAGGTAGTTGTTATAGAGTAATGGATTGTTATTTACATCATCATGTTATTTACATGACATATTATAACCTAGTCTTATGACTTATTGCATCAGCTGTTATCACTTGGTTTGTTATTGTATTTGATAAGCAAAAAAGATTGCAATTAATTTATGACTGAAACCAAAAGTTTATTGTATTCAACCAAGAAATTCAAATTAAAACTTCAAATAAATGTGTAAAGCTAAATTTTAGATAAAACTTTAGATTTAACAGTTTAGTAATGGAGTAACCTATCATGAAATAATAAATAGAACATTATTATTGATTCTGCATCATTAGGATTATACATTTTAAAAATTTAAAATCTTAAATATTAATAATAATAATTTAATATATTAAGACGCAGTATGCTACAAAATGCTCAGACAAGATATTAAATTAGGCAATAAAACATTACCAACGATCAACACGTTCTGCTGAAAACAAACATTAACAGCTTAAGTAATCGCAGGTTTTTTTTCCATCTCATAACGCATGTTAAAGATTGACTTCTAGAATAAATTACGTACATACACCATCAGGCGGGCTGTATGTTCGTCATCGGCATATTAAAAAAAATGCAACCTACAAATATTTTAATAATTAAGTACTTTTCTAGAGCATACTATGAGGCAGTCATCTATTGCTATTGTAGGATGGTATAGTCCTAATATAAGATTGTATTTTTAGAAGCTATATTAAGACTTGAATTTGAATTTGAAATTGACTGATCTCGTTACGAGGTGGCTCGCGACTAGACAAAATGGAAAACTGAAAAAATTAATATATTATTAGATAAAAATTATTACATTATTAGTACATAATATTAACTAGTAATAAAAAAGATAATAGATAACATCTACATAGGTACTACTTAAATTGCAGAAAGTCTTCGGAATATCTGTCAAAAAGAAACAACGGAATGATCAAATTCAAAACTTGCTCAAAGAAAATAATGATCTCAAAGAACAAAACAATAAATTAGTATTAGAAATGGATAAATTAAAAAAAGAATTTGGAAAGGTACATAATGTATTTTAAAGTCTGATAAAATGTTTCTCTCAAGTCTGATAAAATGTTTCTCTCGTCAAAGAAACAAAGACTTAGGTATTAAACATTCTAGATGATTTCAGCATCTTTCATAGCAAATGAACGTAGTAAAGTAGACGAAGAGCATTTGCTTGTGAGTCACCCACAGCTTTAAAGTAAACCTTATGTAACTTGATCTTGATTTAAGTAATTCCCACAAAAAAAAAAGATATCTACTAAACTACTACCTACATAAAATACCTACCTACCTATTACACGCTGATACGAAAGTCTTATTTAAGCGAAGTTATCGTGGCCTAAAGGATAACACGGTGCATATTTTGTAATGAGCAATGCGACACTGCGGGTGTTCGAATCCCAGGCAGGTACAAATATTGTAATGAAATAGGTGTAGGTACTTAACACAGTTCACGAATGTCTTCCACGGTGAATGAATAGGTAACATCCTGTAATGAAAATAAAACCCGCAAAATTGATTATTGCATGGTAGGACCTCTTGTGAGTCCGCACGGGTAGATACCACCGCCCCTATTTCTGCCGTGAAACAGTAATGTCTTCCGGTTTGAAGGGTAGGGTAAAGTGCGTTTAAAATTTAAACTACCTATTATGTTATGTGCCTTTTTTAAATTCGATCACGATTTGATGATGTAGATGAAAGATGACAAATTCTCCGACTACCTCTCTTTGATGAAAGAGCGAGATGCAAGATATGCTTTATATTTCGAAAACCTAACTCTTCAAACGAAGCTTAAAGACCTTGATGGTTCATTTTGCTCGTCCAATGAGGCATATGGAGATCCTGTGGTGCTGAGGATAGCCCTGGATAGATGCAGGTGACTTTATTTAAATACAAACACCTAACTCCTATTTTTAGTGATCTTATGTGGATGGGAAATGATCAGCTAGGAGAAAGTGAATTGCCGTACATCACACGTATAGTCAAAATGTCTATGAGAGGCTAGTGTTCTTTTAAAGTAGCTGATGAGCAGATGAGTTCAGGACCCACTTGACACTAAGCAAGGACCGCAGACCATAGACATAACAACGTAAACTCCACTTATCTTGAAACATGAGAAAAAGATCTCAAATTCCAAAAACCTCTCGAACCGGAACGATGTCTACATTATTGCAAATATAGGTAAACAGGGTAGCTAAGCCATGCAAGCTCATAACAATGCCACAAGTGAAGGGACAGTTGAACGGCACTTGAAGCCTTGACAGGACTAAGTAGTTGAGTAGGGCAAAGGACCACGGCATAGCATGACCTAAAGATATGTTTCGCCATTTTATCCATGTTTCAATGTAAAAACACCTTATATATAAAAAACTAGCCGTACTCGCCCGCTTCGCTGGGCATTTAAAATTAACATTATTATTTATTGTCATTATTATTAGGGAGTCCAACACTCATATAAATATTAGCCTATCCATTAAGTACATATATTATCTACATGGATACCAAGTTTCAAGTCAATCGGATGCATAGTTCAGTAGTTACTAGATGATGACCGAGCTTAGCTCGGTTTTTTTCTTGATAACACGCCATCTTGTTGTGTCTTTAAAGCGGTTAGTTGCCCTCAATTAAGAAAAATAGTATTATTATTCGCCAATAGATGTCGGAAAGAGTTGATTATTGAAAACACGAATAAAACAACATTTTCTGAAAATAAATCGTAGCTAAATCGATTTATCGCCCCCGAAATCCCCTGTATACTAAATTTTATGAAAATCGTTGAGCTGTTTCCGAGATTCAGATTATATATATACAAGAATTGCTCGTTTAAAGGTATAAGAATAAGATAACGGAACATCCGTAAAAACCACTGAAGATTTATATATTAGTATAGATTCAGGATCATAATTAAAGCCATGTTATATATATACAAGAATTGCTCGTTTAAAGGTATAAGAATAAGATAATGGAACATCCGTAAAAACCACTGAAGATTTATATATTAGTATAGATTCAGGATCATAATTAAAGCCATGTTACTGTTAACTGTCTCACACACAAAACCCATTAAACACCATTGCAAGAAATATGTCTTGTCAGGTACAGCTTAATTTCCTCTTAGCTGTTTTTATTGGTATAAATAGGCAGAGGCAGTAGAGCCAACCGGGGCACTATGAATAAAATAATTAGGTATTATTTGGCAAAATATGCAATGCGAAATTAGGTTTCCAGGTCTTTGTAGCGATATTTTGGGGGGCATACGTCCTATTAGGTAATGCAATATGTAATTGGGGGTCGTTGTCGATATTGTATAAATAATCATTCCACTGTGAGCGACTGTTACCATTATCGATCTAATATAACAACCCAGACCCAAAAATGACTCGGACTTTTATTTAACAATTTAGAGAACAACTGTCTGCAACTCAAACTAGTTTGAAGAAGATGGTGGAAGAGTACTCAAATACGGTACCTCGGAGAGAGTACGATGCGCTGGAGTCTAAGCACGATTCAGTATTGAAAAACTTATCAGCTTTGGAAGCAGAAGTTAAAAGCTTACAGGAAGCACATAGAAAGCTTTATGGTATGAATCTCAACCTTTTGTAAAGAATATTGCTTTTATGCTAATTTCGAACAAGATCATTTAAGCAAAGCATTTACGAAAACGTTTTGTAAGCTTTCTCAAATGAGTTTATTGGGTATTTTTAAATGGCGTAATAAATAGGACATTTAGGCTCACTAATAGATTTTGAATAAACTTTGTTCATACATATGTTGATGAAAGCTTGGGACATGCGCTTCTATTTTAACGTCATATAAACTGTGGCCCACAACGCGGTCGCCGGGGTTCTTTGGACTAATCTTAACATGACCTTAAACAAATTGTGTTTTAATGACATGTCTAAATAATACGAAGCCGATAAAGCACAGAACTGATTGTGATACCGCTGTGACTAGTAGAAAGAGCGACAAACAAGGAATATTTGTAGGTACATTTGATTTGGAAATATTCTGAACCATGACTTTTTTTTTTATTGTTTAGATGGGTGGACAAGCTCACAGCCCACCTGGTGTTAAGTGGTTACTGGAGCCCATAGAATCCACAATCCACAACATAAATGCGCCACCCATCTTGAGATATAAATTCTAAGGTCTCAAGTATAGTTAAAACGGCTGCCCCACCTTTCAAACCGAAACGCATTACTGCTTCACGGCAGAAACAGGCAGGGCGGTGGTACCTACCCGCGCGGACTTTCAAGAGGTCCTACCACCAGTCCACGCGGGCAAAGCGGCGGGCAGAGAGCTAGTGAGTTATATATTAAGTTGTCCACATATCAGCATCGAAGAGGTCGTTAGAAGAAGAGTTATCTGAAGTGAAGGAACGCTGCAGCGAACTGGAGCGAGCCGGCACTCCTCGTCCGCACTGGGACCTCTGTGCTGACTTCATCGGAGGTGGACGAAACCGGTATCGTGCTTTATTGTAGTTTCTTACTTCACTTGTACTCTCCCCACTGAGTTTCTCGCCGGATCTTGTCAGTGGGTCGCGTTTCCGATCCGGTGGTAAATTCTGCGAAGCACTGCTCTTGCTAGGGTCAGTGTTAGCAACACTCCGGTTTGAGCCCCATGAGCTCACCTACATACGTTAGGGTGAAGCTGAAATAGCCTCTCAAGGCTATCAGCATAGGTAGGAGAAAAAAAAAGTAAGTACACTCCTGTTTCCAAATATAGGATCTTCTTCTGAACTTATCTTATTTCGGCTTCATCGGTGCGATTAACGACTTTTCGTCGTTCTAATATTTTGTGTTAAACTAATTTATATACTGAAGACTTTTTGATGGAGCGTTTATTTCTGATGATAAGCTTGGGTGTTTTAAAATGTATATATCGACGGAAGAAAGCGGAATTGTCGTAACTTGAAAAACCCAATTTTACACCAGAGAGCCTTTATACTTACTATATGTCTAGATCTAAAAGCCACAATTATTAACCATCGTCAGACATCGTAAGGGCGAATACGGTGATCGAGCTAAGAGAAATATTGAGTACATCAATCATGTGTCTTAAAACAATTTAGAAATCTTCACTTGACGTAAGCAAACGAAAACAAACGACAACTTTCATTAGGACGGAGGCACCGCTCTTCAAGAAGGCTGGTTGGTAAGTGTGATGGCGTCTACGCGCCTCCATCGGCTAGACTCTGTCGTAGCACGAAGCTAGCAGAGTTTCGACGGTACCGCAATCGTGCTGCCATCTCTCGGGAATCGTGCTACTTTTCGTTTAGCAAGTAATCATGGTCTCCGACATACCTAGTCAGGTCATAAATTCTGTCACATGTTTAATGTAAAATAATTGAAACAAGTTTATTCATTATGTAACCATTCATATACCAAAATGAACTTAACAAAACATAGATTCTTATGACACTAAAGTTTATTCAAAATGACCTCCGTGATTTTGAATACAGGCCTTCAATCTGCGCGGCCAGTCGTCTATTGCAGCACGAACGAGGTNTTACGACATTTCCGCTTTCTCCCGTCGATACATAATTTAATATCCGTACTTATATAGTATGACGCAATGAATCCAATATCGGACGCAGCTGGTGGCAACTGGCGAGCGGCCTGACGTCACGGGACACGCTCCGAGTGCTACTTAAAGAGTTAGGTCCGGCCGCCGAGAGCGAACACTTGGAGTATTTTGATGGACTCGTAAGATAAGTTAGATATTTCGTCGCCTGCACATTTACAAATAAGCCACAAAATTCTTACAAACTATACACTTTTTAAACTTGATTGGGCAAATCGTTTCCAAAGCTAACACAAAATTATACAGAGACTTAATCATCATCATTCTCCTGCCCTTCTCCCAGTCAAATGAGTTCCATATCAAAACCATTTCTTCGCTCATTCCCCTCTTACACATATCGTCTTTCACGCAATCCATCCACTTTTTCTTAGGTCTACCTCTTCCTCTAAACCCTTCTACATTAATAGTTAAAACTCTCCTAATAATTTCATTGTCATTTCGACTCATCACATGGCCGTACCATCCCAAAAGCGCGCTTCATAACTTCTCTGTCACAGGGGCACTTTTTAGACTTGCCCTAACATAAAAAAATAAAAGTTTTTCCAAAATTTAGAACAACATGAGAACGACTATACAGAGACTAATAGTATTAAGAATATAAAATAAAACTTGGCGGGTTGTTCATAACACACTAGTTGACCCGGCCGACTTCGTAGTGCCTCAATCGATAAGTAAAAGACCTAAACTTTTGTCTAAAATAGTAATCTTAAAAACAAATGGGTAATAACTAGAGGTCGCAGGATTTAGAATCCGTACCGGTCTCTTGTGTGGGTCAGTCGATGATCATCTGTCGCCCATGTCGTCTGTTCACAATTCTACATGTCACTAATGTCGGCAGGGCATGGACCCCTCGATACCTACATACCTGCGCTACGAAGGCAAGGTGCGGAACCTGCGACTCTCGCGACGGGAGATCAGCGTCATCATCAACGACATCTGGCTCGGGAAACAACAACACATGTCCATGTCCATGCAGGATTACGTCACCAAGTATTTTGAAGATAGGTGAGGACTCAAGTCAGCGATACGGCCCACTTGATGGTAAGTGGTTACCGTCGCTCATGGACGTCGTCAATGCCAGAGGCAGAGTTAAGCCGCTGCCTTCATATAAACATGGCGAAGGAAAGACCTTTGTGTTATTGCTCAGGAGACTGATGGTGAAAATGCGGATTGTTGTTGGGATCAGCCCGTTTCAGGTTATTGTCAAATATCTTCTGTTTCGTATTCTACTTCCTACTGTCACCAATAATCTTCATGGGCAGGGTAGCCATCAATTTTTGAACATTTACATCATTGACAACATTGAAGTCGTGCGTATAAGTGCAGGTAGCGCCGCATCAATATTATTTTCATCCAACCGTGCGCCTGAACGAACTCACACTTCAACTGGTGTTAAGTTGTCACCGGAGTCTGTATCCGTAACGTGGATTTTGCCTCCCGCCTTGAGAGATGAGTTTGAAGCCTCAAATATATTGTGTAACAGCGGCTGTTCCACGCCTCCAACCGGGACGGATGACTACTTCGCGGTAGAGATAGGCGGGGTCGTGGTGTCTGTCCATGCGAGCTTACAATACGCCATCTACTTTATTATGATTTTTTTTATTGCCTAGATGCGTGGACGAGCTCACAGCCCACCTGGTGTTAAGTGGTTACTGGAGCCCATAGACATCTACAACATAAATGCGCCACACACCTTGAGATATAAGTTCTAAGGTCTCAGTATAGTTACAACGGCTGCCCCACCCTTCAATCCGAAACGCATTACTGCTTCACGGCAGAAATAGACAGGGCGGTGGTACCTACCCGTGCGGACTCACAACAGGTCCTACCACCAGTAATTACGCAAATTATAATTTTGCGGGTTTGATTTTTATTACACGATGTTATTCTTTCACCGTGGAAGTCAATCGTGAATAATTGTTAAGTACGTATTTCATTAGAAAAATTGGTACCCGCCTGCGGGATTCGATGCACCGAACGTCTTATCCTTTAGGCCACGACGACTTTAAAATATCTGCTAATGTTCGCTGAATCGATTTCTTTTTTTTTCTACCTGTGCTGATAGCCTTGAGAGGCTATTTCAGCTTCGCCTTAACATGTAGGTGAGCTCATGGGCCTCAAACCGGACTGTTGTTAAGACTGGCCCTAGCAAGAGCAGTGCTTCGCAGAATCTACTACCGGATCGGAAACGTGACCCACTGAGAAGGATTTCTGTAACACGGCTCTAACACTCATGCCATTTAGTAGAGATCATCTAGATATGTAAAATTTGATTAATTTTCTCGGAACTTTCAGTTCGGTTCGCTGTCACCTTTTTGACTCGACTTGAGCTTTTAAGATTTAAGAAAATCTTACGCTGCGTTTGAAATCTCTCCGGCCTCCAATTTGAGAAATCGTCATACCTTGTGTTCACATTCTGGTTTAGGTACCAGCAGGCTTCGGTCCGAGCCGAATGGGCGTACAACCTGTGCGCTGGCGCCGAGCAGCTGCTAGACGACCCGCAGGTGCGACTGTTCTGGGGCACCGCGCATGCGCAGCTCAGCGAGCACGTGTACTGGGGCCTGCGGACGCACTGGCGCGCGCTGCGGGACCAGCTGTACCGACACGCTGACGGCCGGGAGGTAACCTGAAGATGTGGGGGGGGCATCATAGAACACAAGATATTTATGTAAAGGTTCACGATTGACTTCACGGTGAAGGAATAACAACGTGTAATAAAAATCAAACCCGCAATATTATAATTTGCGTAATTACTGGTGGTAGGACCTCTTGTGAGTCCGCGCGGGTGCGTACCACCACCCTGCCTATTTCTGTCGTGAAGTAGTAATGCGTTTCGGTTTGAAGGGTGGGGCAGCCATTGTAACTATACTTGAGACTTTATAACTTATATCTCAAGGTGGGTGGCGTATTTACGTCTTGGATGTCTATGGGCTCCAGTAACCACTTAACACCAAGTAGGCTGTGAGCTCGTCCACCCATATAAGCAATTTAAAAAAAGTGAATTCTGAATTTCGCTAACGACATTTTCAATATAGGTTTGCTTTTATACAAGTTCCGAACAACAACAGCATTTGGACCGTCGGTCTACAGAGCAATATCACCGGTTCGGTGGAAGATCTTCTGTTTGTTAACATTCAAACAGACAAATAGAAAAAGATGAAACAAAAAAACCTTCATTGCTTATGATGACCGGCAACCCGAAGAAGCTAGCTAGTAGCTTGGAGGAGCCGTGCTGATGCTTGACACGTCAAGTTGCGGAGAAGAGCTCGTCTAACTCCGACCCTAACATATTAACAACATTTTTTCGCTTTACACCCACCTGGTTAGCGATTACCGGAATCCTTATATATTACATAATCTTAAGATATGTAACCGAAAACTGAATTGTGTTATAACTATAATAGACCGGCACGCACTAACATTTTGGGAGAGGAATGTATAAGATGGTCGGGATTAAATACACACTCATCCTAGAGTAGTGGTTTGTGTTCTAACAATGAAATTCAAGGTTCTTAGTCGTCAAATCCAGCAGTCTCTTTGTTTCTGACAAAAGCCTTCCTATAATTTTCTTAGACCATTTCCATTGAAGAATTCGAGAAAGTTGCGAAAGCTACGTTCCCGTTGAAGAGTGAGGTCGATATCAAAAACTTAGTGGACGTGGTGAGGAAGCAGCTCAAACTGAAGATCAACAACCAGCTTATATGCCTGGACAAACTGTTCTATGAGGTGGGTTGTAGGTTTTAGTAGGTGAGTCCTTTAGTGTGCACTAGTATGGCATCATAGCATCTACGTGCTCAGTGGAACCGCACGTTGTGAATCCACACGATAACGCCGTTTGATATAGGACAAAATGTAACACGATGTGAAGTGGTTTTTATTTTTATTGCTTAGATGGGTGGACGAGCTCACGGCTCACGGAATAACATAATGTAGTAAACGTAAAAAACGGTAATTTGCGTTTACTAAATAATTGAGACAAAGACCTCAAGTCTCACGATAGGTGGCGTATTCACATTGAGATATCTGTGAGCTGATATCATCCCTCGACGCAATAAAGTAGAAGATGACATTAAGCCGTAAAGAGAAATGCTGTTTCGTTCAGAACGAAGAAGGCTTTGAGAGAATAGAACTGGCCAAGGAGTTGTACAGACAGCGGAGGCTTGCTCAGGACCGGTACATCCGCGAGCTAGTCGCCACCTTGGGAGGGAAACAAGCCGCCAACAAGCCTGTCACTGTGGACGCACTGAAAAGGGCCTTCGCATTGCTCGACCCAGCTATCGGTAATAACACTAATAACTAACAATTTATAAATATGTATTCGAAAATTTCATCATATGGTGGTAGGAACTTTTGTGAGTCCGCGCGGGTAGGTACCACCACCCCGCCTATGTCTGCCGTATAATGCGTTTCGGTTTGAAAGGTGGGCCAGCCGTTGTAACTATACTGAGATCTTAGAACTTATATCTCAAGATGGGTGGCGCATTTACGTTGTAGATGTCCATGGGCTCCAGTAACCACTTTACACCAGGTGGGCTGTGAGCTCGTCAACAAATCTAAGCAATAAAAAATAAAAAAAAAATACATGCATTTTGAAAAATATTCTAATTTGTATGAATTAAAATAAATCTGCAAATTTCCGGCCCAAATTATGGTCCTGTCATGACGATGTGTCAATCTTAAATCTTGGTGCTAAAAAAGATTTTACGATAGTTAAAGTACTCTAAATCTAATGTAAAAACCTTTGATAAAAATACCACGTGCTACAATTGATCGATCATTAGAAATTATAAAAGATTTGAAAGTTCTTACATAGAAATCGCACCACTCAATATTTTAATTATGTTTCGTACTATTAAATTTCTCGAAGTTCAATATTCACCTAACAGAAAGTTTTCTCTGCAAATACATAAAATAAAAGTATTTTTTCCAAAGATAAGATGAATTGTTTTAATTAATTCCTAACATTTTGATATTGTCAGATCATATTCGCATGGAGCGTTACATACGCTGGGCGTTCTCGGATAACACTTCTGATTTGAACAACATCTGTGCAATACCACTCAGAACACTCACAGGAAGACTGGCTGCGGGAGACATAGAGAGAGTGGGGCCGAGGTATAAGAGCATTAGGAGGACTTACAAGTAACAAATATTGTAAAAGTGATAGACGAAATTAAATATTTAGAAATTTTACCAAAAACTTAACTATTCAAATGTTTCTTGTTATAAATTTTTAGTTCACTTTTAATAAATTAATTGTTCACATCAATATTTAATTTACATTATAGATAAATGAATTAATGCAATAAATCTGTTTTATTTGTGTTGCCATTGATTTAGTTCTAATGGTTTGTAAATGCAAGTGTAATTCCTTAGTACTGTTTTTTCCTAGTAAGATCTTTGACAGGAACACGGAAGCGAAATAAAATAAAATGTTTTATTTATTTATTTATTTATTTATTGTTTCTTCAGGTATAAATGTTATAATTTATACTAATATATAAATCTACAGTGGTTTTTACGGATGTTCCGTTATACCTACTCAATGGCGGATCCAGGGGGGGGGGGGGTCATGGGGTCATGACCCCCCCTGAGCTGGTTCCAGGACTTAGGTGAACCACTAATTGAACCTAATGATTTTATTTATATATTTTGCCACTATACAGATTTTATGTAACTACATACCTTCAATATTTAATTAATTTAATATAATATAATAACTTTGTATGATGGCAAGCGTTTGGGAACGAGCGCATCGAAAATTTGACTATGTGACCCCCTCCTGGCGCCAAAGCTGGATCCGCCCTTATAACTACTGAATCATGCATCCGATTGACTTAATGGGTAGGCTAATATTTTATATGAGTATTGGATTCCCTAATGGTAATGACAATAAATAATAATGTTAATTTTAAATGCCCAGCGAAGCGGGTGAGTACGGCTTGTTATATTATAATTATAATCCTGACTTGTTAGCCGCTTAGCGTTTGTAAAAGTACGCAAGTTTGGGAAAATGAAATCAAATCGCTGGACTCTCAATTAATTTTACGAAATTTCTTTCAAATCAAATACTATTCATACAGCTACGGTGTTGTTCCCATTGGTTTGTCGCACCTAATTTCATTTCATTCCATAATCGATTTCATTTCAAATAGCTGTATATCATTTTGTTTCTTTTGAAATTTCGTACAATAGACATGACTTCGGCCTGTGTTGTAAAAATTGCGTAGGTATATGCGCTTCGATCCCTTTGCTTGTTCAGCGGAAAAACTATAAAAAGCTAACGCACTGAAATCGATAAAGTGCATTTATAATGCAAATGGGTACAAAAAATGACATTCCACTAGAAACAAATCTTATTGTCAAAGTCAAATAAATCAACAAACAATTAGGTGCCGTACGGTACTGATAAGAGATTTCATTGGAAGATTTTTTGATTTAAAGAAAGTACTGCTATAAATTATGGCTGATATTGTTGATAACGAAGAAAATGACCGAGATACTGTAGAGCCCGAAGAATTGGAGCAAATGTTCAGTAAGAAGTATAAAATTGTTACGGAACATGCTGTTTCTCTTCTACACTCGTATATACACCGATTGGACGGAACAAAGTATGTATACACACATTGTACAATAACACTTCCTAATTCTTCACGTATTAAAGCCTTAAGCTTAGCGTAGACGTACTTTCCTTAAACAATACACTTTGCTAACACTAATGATATTAACCTCAAAACGTGGAAAACATCACAACAAATAAACTTTAATAAATTAGCAAGTACGTACAGTATGAACATAGGTATAGAACAGGCTGTCTATCCGAAAAACACTATCTACGCTTATGAATCAATCGAAATAAAAATGCCAAGCGAAAAATAGCCTTGTAAAAAATAAATTTAGATCTTTAGTTTCAACTAATCTTTTATTACTATTGTACATGCTGTTGTGAGAAATTGCTTGATATATCCATCTATGTCCATGACATTACCATATTACATCCATAAGGAACTTTAGCTCCTTAATTATGCTGTAGTTGAACTCCGGTTAAACTCTTAGAACTTCTCTTTGTTTGCAACATCATCATGTAAGCTATATGAGTGCTATGTTGCCCCTCATATACAAAATAGTCACTATTGAAAACTCTCACTTACTTATCACATCATAGATGAACTGCTGAATGTCAAGATTGACAAAAATGGATTGATTTGACACTCAAAAATTGGAAAGCCCTTGATGTTGAGAGTATAACAACTAAGCTACTGAAGAAAGGAGGAACACCTTTATTAGTAGAACTGCAAAAGATCTTTAACTACATCATTGTGAGAACTCTGGAAGTATGGTATAACAGTATAGCTGTCCTGTTTATCAAAAAGTAGGACAAAGCTCTTGAAGAATTATAGACAATGATCTCCCTACTGTCTATAAGTTGTTCTCACAGGTTATCACAAATCATGTAGCAAGACGACTGGTTTAATTTCCAAACTCTGAGAAGGCCAAGGCATGATGGTCCCACACATACAGTGCTGTAAATTAAAAAAAAATCTCACTCAAAAAACATTTGTTGGCTATGAGAAGGCATTCAAGAGCTAAACTGAGGCTTGGATGCTGGAGCTGGAGCTATGCAAACAAGCCATGTATGGAGCTTCTCTAAAGCATAAAATTAACAATGAGGATATTCTGCATCGCTTAGAAAGTCAGCAAGCTGAAATGGCAGTGGGCTCAATACATATATCCTTAGAGCAACATTTGCTAGAGAAGAAAGGTTCTTGAATGGAGACCATGCACATGCATGTCACATAATGCAGGGGGCCCTTGGCCCTATGTTATGTTTACTGTAGAGAAATTATTTGCAAAGTGTGGCTCGCAAGACATGGATGAAGAGAACCGAAGACCAGACTCAATGGCATAAATTGTAAGAGACCTATAGAAATCAGCAGTAGACAATTGTGAGATGATGACTCTCTTGTTGTCTCTCTCAAATCCCATCAATAAAAAACAGAGCCATGAAAACAAATTTTCTTTACTTTTAACAATAAACTAAAATCACCTACAAGATGCATTAGTGATAGTGGCAAATTGCCAGCCTATATGGTTTGATATAACAATCCTATATTTTTCTACCATAAAGCATTTTGTACCAGTGGGCTGAAGATACTAGTGAAATTTCTGCTGTATACTGCCTATGGACTTCAGTAATCACTTATCACCATATAGAGATTGTCTACTTCATTGTCTATTTCAGATCTCTAAACTTGGCCATTAGTCTCTCAGACAACTCAATTGAAATATACAAACTTAGTGATTCGTCACTGCATCAAGTTTGTCGCTTGCATGGACACAAGGAGGCAACACTGACACAAGTTGTGTTTAGTCCTAAGGAAGACAATCTACTGTACTCAACTGGACTTGATGGACTTGTAAAGCTGTGGGATATAAGAGCAGGAGGCTCCTGTGTTTTGGAGTACAAAGGTATGGTTCAATAGTGATTCTACTTAGGTTAAATGAACATGCATATCTCACAAGAGTGAAGAGTAAATAGGTGAGCGACATGACATGTTGCTTAATAATGCAATTTAGATTAGATTCAAAGCTGTTACCAGACAAAAGAAGGGATACCGTTTCATATCTAAATGCCATAACCCTGTGGTTATCACGATTGTGCCATGAAATACTGATGAAATACTAACTAAATTGTAAAAAAGCTATTGTGAACTGATCCATCAAAGTCATTGCCTGGCCTTTCATCTACCTCGGATAAATACTTGGAATTTTTTTCTGAGCACATGAGAAATGCTTGCTATAATTAACCCATAATTTTCCATATGCTTTTTTTATTATGATATAAAATTTATATGTGTTGTATCAGTTTAAAAAAAAGTGCCAACACAGCCTCTACTGCTTCACTAGATCTTGAGACACAGGCATCAGCTCAATAAGTCGATAGTATTTAAAATAATAGTATAAAACTTCAGATGAAGAGGAAGAAATACTGAGGCCATATGAATGCATGGATGTATCCTGTAATGGCATAGTGCTGTGTACTGGCAGTCAACTCGTGGACGATGATGCTTATCTGGTCTTTTTCGACCAGAGGAAGCCTAAACCATTGGGAGGATATTGGAACTCTCATACTGATGATGTTACTCAGGTATTTACTATTTAAGTTGAATGAGTTTCTAGCAGGGAATTTTCAAAAGAATCTTCACGACGCTACTTCGGAAAAGCGGCGCACCACAATAATTATCCCATATTAGCCATCGCTAATTATACATCTGACACAAGCAACGAAGAGCGGCCGTGGCCTAAACACGTATTCTCGAATCCTTCAGACCAGTCACCGTCGACTGTTAAGAGTTAGACGTGCGAACTAGCCCATAGACACACCATACTTTTCGCTGCGTCTCCTCAGTGATAGATTCAGCAAATCACTGCTCTTGCTAGTTCTCCTCTTAGACTTAGCAAGTCCTCCCAGGTTGAGTCTCGTGTGCTCACCTGCCAAACCACGCGTATTTGGAATAGCCTTTAAGCTACCAACGATTGGGTAGGGGAAAATCTACTGCTGTGGAATAGACTTTAGGTCTAGGATAGGTCTCTAGCCGCTGCTCTGCCAGAGGCTCGTCTGGCAAGGCCTCAATCGTTTTATGTCGTCGCTTTGCCTGCACAGATAAAGTTCCACCCGACTCGAATGGAGATCCTCGTGTCTGGCTCGCTGGACGGGCTGATCAACGTGTACAACATAGTGGAGGAAACGGAAGAGGACGCTCTACTTTACAGCCTCAATGTTGAGAATTCCATCGACACTCTTTCATGGTTGGATGGGGAGCACGTGGGCTGCGTCACCCAGTCCAACGACTACCAGCTGTGGAACGCCATCAGCGGAGACATCGTCAAGGAATACGAGAGGGACAAAGTCTCGAGGAGCATAAAGGTATCATTTGTTTTTTTTTTATTGCTTAGATGGATGGACGAGCTCACAGCCCACCTGGTGTTAAGTAGTTACTGGAGCCCATAGACATCTACAACGTCAATGCTCAGTATAGTCACAACGGCTGCCCCACCCTCCTTCAAACCGAAACGCATCATTGCTTCACGGCAGAAATAGGCAGGGTTGTGATACCTACCTGCATGGACTCACAAGAGGTCCTACCACCAGTAAAAATAAAAATAATGTAAAGCGTTGGCGTGCGCGTGTCGACCGGCGGCCGTTTAGATGTTTGTTGAACTGGTAAGTCAGAGCAGATTTATTATGAAGTGGTTGTGATGTTGCAGAGGAGCAAGGAGGACGACTGCTACCTGGTGGACTCGTTCACGTCGGCGGAGGGGCGGCGCGTGCTGCTGGCCGGCTCGCACGCCGGCTCCGGGTGAGCACATCGCACTGTACTGTTGTCTATAATCTATACATCTATACATATAAATAAAATTGGTGTGTCTGTTTGTAATATTGAAATAGCCGCTTTTTACTACATGCATATGAATATATATACGGTACATACACCAAAATAACATTTTATACAATTTTTGTCTGTCTGTCCGTCTGTCTGTCTGTTTGTTTTGGCTAATCTCAAGAACGGCTGGACCGATTTTGACGGGACTTTCACTGATAGGTAGCTGATGATATAAGGAGTAACTTAGGCTACTTTTTTTTAGACAAGCTTCGCCCCGCGGCGTCACCCGCGATACTCTAGTAATATTATAAAGCTGAAGAGTTTGTTTGTTTGAACGCACTAATCTCAGGAACTACTGGTTCGATTTGAAAAATTATTTCAGTGTTAGATTGCTAATTTATCAAGGAAGGCTATAGGCTATATAACACGCTAAGATCAATACAAGCGGAGCACCAATAAATTTTTCTAAATCGGGTTATGCCAAAGTAACTATTCCACGCGGACGAAGTCGCGAGCAAAAGCTAGTCATTTATAAACGAAAACTGACAGAACATTACTTAGCTGCGGCAACAAGCAAATTTTGAAAATTTGCCTTCTTTCTCCCACGCCCCACTTAACGGCAGTGATGTCATTAAACAATGTGTGCATTCTTTTTTGTAATCAACAAGTACCCTCATTAGATTCAAAGAAATTGTAATTCGTTCATATGTGAACAGATTGATTCCTGCTGTTTTAGACTTCGGGTAAAGTAGCAGGAATATTCTGGTTGTCTTCCCCCCTCAGAGTGTGAGGTGGCGGCCCGGCCGGAACGTGGAGTGAGGTCACTTCAAGGTCTTACTTGATGTATACAATTGAATTCGCAGCGACGTGCTCCGCTCCGTGGCAGTAGTGGACAAGAAGCTCCAGCCCTGCTCCAACTTCAAGGACAACAAGCAGGTGGTCCGCAGCTGCTGGTACAGCGCACAGGTGAGTGACGAGCCTTACAGACTGTACTGGCGCCGCCCGCCACCGCCTCCTGCTGGAGGGGAGGTAACGCGGGGAGGGACTACCTGTTGGTCCCATCTAATGTACTAGCAGTGTTGTACGGCGCGTGAAGGGACCAGGCCGGGGGAGAGTTCACTTCGTACGGTTTATTTAGGTTACATTTATTATCTATATATGTATATATATAAAAATGAATTGCTGTTCGTTAGTCTCGCTAAAACTCGAGAACGGCTGGACCGATTTGGCTAATTTTGGTCTTGAATTATTTATGGAAGTCCAGAGAAGGTTTAAAAGGTAGATAAATATGAAAATGCTCGGAATTAAATAATAATAACAATTTTGTTTTTCCTTTGATGTGTGTTCCTCGTTGGACGGATTCCTTTTATTTGTTTTAAGTTTATTTTATACAAAAGTTTAGGTCTTTTATTATCGATTGAGGCACTACAAAGTCTGCCGGGTCAGCTAGTATACAATATTTTTATTATTATATTGGTAACAGACACGCAGCACTAACACCATTTACAATTACATATCTCCTACAGCACGACATCCTGGTGACGTCAGGCGAGTCTGGGATACTATCGGTGTGGGGCGACTGCCAGTCGGAGCCCGAAGCGCCAGAAGTGAGGAAGCTCACGGACTCCCTCAGCAAGCTCCAAGACGGCAGACATAAGCCCTACTGAAGCAATCTTAATCGTTTTGTAATTATTTTATCAACGCCTTTTGTTTTTATTGTTTTACTTTAAAATTTGATCTTCCGTGAGTACGGCTAGAGAAATGGGCAGGCGATAAAATAAGCTAACAGTTAAGTACGTAAACGTATTTATAACCATGACGTCCCGCCACGCCACGCCACGCCCCGCCCCGCCACGCCACGCCCCGCCACGCCCCGCCACGCGGTCGGCAGGAGGCACCGCGGCGGCGACTGTTTGTACAATAGCGTAGTACTGTGTAAGATATCGTCACGTCTGATTGCGTCAGTAATACCTTCAGAAATAATATCCTTTAAATTCGACGCTATGTGGCGTGCTGTAGCCGCCTGCAGCAAACTGTTCGCGGATCCGTATCGTAACAAAACTATGGTCTGTTCGTTTTTATTAAATAATACTAATAGTAGTTATGTCTGTATGTAGTCATTAAGTTTAAGTTAGAGTGGTGAATGTAGTCGCGCGGTATTGAGCGGCGGTGCCTCCGTGGCCGCACCAGGAGGCGCCCGGCCATCTCGTACCCGCTAACATTAAGTGTTTGTGAATTTGTATTGTAAACTTAAAGAATTTGTCAGATTGTACTTTACCAATGTTAAGGGTTTACTCTTTATTGATCCTGCCGCGTCGTCCCCCCGGCGCAGGACTACTGCGTTGTACTGTGTAACAAGGAAACGACGTGACATGTCACATTCCTCCTTCACTTGATCCAATAAATAGTAACTTTCGTAATATTATTGTTTCTGTTTCGGACGTTTGGTTTTTTTTTTCGTACCTAAATTGAGAGCCTTGAGAGGCTATTTCAGCGTAACCTTAACTAGTAGGTGAGCTCACAGGGCTCACGAGACGACGTTACTAACACGAACCCTAGCAAGAGCCGTGCTTCGCAGAATCTACCGCCGGATCGGAAACACGACCCACTGAGAAAATCAGGCGACAAAATCAGTGAGCTGTATCTCCGTTAAAAAGCACCGTTAGTGGATCGTGAGGATCCGAGATGACGTGTTTGGGGCGACGTCGACTGCTTTCCATTCTTTCCGCAGGATCGGGAATGTAGTTACCAGCGGCCACGATGAGAGGGTTCTCGTGTCGTGCCACTTTATTGAAGTCACAGAAACAGAAAGACTCACTATGACGTAGCGTCAGCCGCGCCCGCGTGTACCTCCGTGAACAAGCGCTTAATCCTTTACCGGGGACATGACGGTGCCTTCCTATTTGTATTAAAATAGCTTGTAAGCTCTCCCAGAAACGCTCGAAGGGGGCCGCCGGGTAGAGACGGGGGTCGGAGTCCACAGACATCACCGCGCACTTGGAGATGGGGCCCGAAGTCTCAACCGTTTTGTGCAACTCGCATCGGCTCGGAGCGCCCTGCACGACAGTGCACAAGATTGCTTCGCGGCAGACGCGCTGTCACGGTTCAAATATTACATGCCAACACTGCCATGCCATTTTACTGGTGGTAGGACCTTTTGTGAGTCCGCACGGGTGGGTACCACCACCTTGTCTATTTCTGCCGTGAAGCAGTCATGTGTTTCGGTTTGAAGAGTGGGGCAGCCGTTGTAACTATACTGAGACCTTAGAACTTATATCTCAAGGTGGGTGGCGCATTTACGTTGTGGATGTGTATGTAAGTAAGTCCAGTAACCACTTAACACCAGGTGGGCTGTGAGCTCGTCCACCCATCTAAGCAATAAAATATATATAAGTAATAAATTCAAAGTAAAACAATGTTAAACAAATAATTTTATTCGAAATCTCAAAATAATAAAATATCAATTTTAAAATATGCTCAGTCGAGTCCCGGGTTCCGCCACGAGCTTGTCGCGTAGCGCTCGACTAAAAGTTAAAAAAAACCTTAACTTATTTTTTCTTTTAAGGCGATCACACGTGTTATTCATTGACGTGGTTGTAACAGAACCTACGACCTGACTAATTATATGCAATTATTAAAAATAACACTAAATATACAATAAAAAAATAAACATACAATGACTAAAATTAAATCACAATTATGTTAATTAATATCTTCATATTTTAAAATAATAATCGTATAAGTGTCATTTAAAAAACAAAATACACACAATGGCTAAAATAAAAATCACAATAACTTTCAATACGCGTCCTCTATCTATTTGAAAATATTATATACGCAGCACACTTACTGCCGCGCTCAGTCCACACTAACTTCGAGCAGCGGAACTAACCCTGGCACTCGGATCCATTCCAGGGACCGACTTCTGACCTCGATATGAGGAGACTTGTGGTGGACCCATAGACAGTATCGCGGAGCTGGTCCCCGACTCTACGGCTGCTTCGCGGAATGACCAGCGAAAGGGGGGTCTATGGAGGCAACTCATCGCCGCGATATTTGATGTTCGCATCAGTTCATGCTCAGAATGTGGACACCAATGAACATCTTTTAACTCCATAGAATTACATCATTAGAAATACATAATCTCACATTAACATCAACGTCAATATAGAAATATTCGCAGAACCAACTCGCAATTCAATAGTAACCGGTCAGTTTTTAATTTCATTGATGTGGTTACCCGAAGTCATCACGACGTGAATGCATCCGACTTGAGACATGAGGTCGGAGTCGGTCGGTCGCCCTTGAGGCCGGAGAGCTCGGCTGCCTCGTGCGGTCGCGCCCATACATGGGAGATCCTCAATTCGCTCTACCATCAGTGAGCATGCCTTAAGCGAAGTGTACAAGGGCGCGGTCGCCCAGGGAGCGACCGCGCCCCCGCACACTACCGAACGTACAATAATAACGTCAACATTGCGCAAGAAATGTTTGGGGACACACAATATATAATATTCATCCATCGAAGTTTCATCTCAGAATACACGAACAGTCGCCAATAAGACCGGTAACTATAGAATTACTTAGAAAGTAAAGAAATATTATTTAAATTGTACTTTACTGCAAATAAATATTTAATAAAGAATCAAATCCAAATCCTTCAATTTTTATTCATAAGTAATAATATTTTGTAAAATAAAAAAAAAACGAACAAAACTTCTAAATGTATATATATAATGATGATGATAAATTTCTTTCCTTTTAATATTTCAAACATATAAATTTTAACACTTTATCACAATATTTGTTTACACAAAGTCGCGAGATGTCCCCGGCGACAGGCTCCGACGGGCACCCGGTGTATTAAAATATAGTATATTTTTTTTCATTTAGTTAATAAATATAATTTTTAATTCTAACTTTAGTATATACATAATTTGGAATGAGATTATATTTTTTAAGTTCGCAATCGCCTTTACAATAACAACCCTTCTGAAAGCGTATCAAATTGAGCCATACCGACAGACGGCGCACAACAGTGTGTTTAGTGCGAGTTTTTTAACGTTCTCGATAGCGTAAAAGTTAGCCCAATTTTGTATGCAGTTGGAACAGCGCCCCTAGCGGCAAATGTACGCAAACTATCCCATTCCATACAAATGAGTCGACTATTATCAAAGCCGGCAATCTGACTTTTGGACAATTATTGGTAAATCGGAAAAACGAATTATTGACTTTGTATTCCATTGGCAGTCACAAAACTCTTCGGAACGACATCTTAGATAAATAACAGGTTAACTATTGACCTTTATTTAATGCAGGTTTTGAACCGTATTCATTGAAGGAGACGATTATATTCAAATCAATCTGTATTGACATATCAATAACATTTTTTTGTCCAAATGCACAGATTGCCACCTTTGATAATAGACGACTCAAATATGACTTAACTTTTACGCTATCGAGAACGTTAAAAAACTCGCACTAAGCACACTGATCTGAACCAACGAAACGAACCGACGTCGCAAATATATACATGTGTATGTTTATCGATAAAGTTTGTTTAGTAGAAGCATGACAAGGGCATGTAGCGGTGTCGGCTAAACTATATTACAATATTAATATCAAATTTTAGTTTTATGTTCAGGAGCTGTAGTTATCTTCCAGTGAGGCGACAGTAGAGTCCACAGTAGAGCGGCCGGTACGCACGGGCTCATTTTGTGCACAGGAACATTATTAACCTGGTTTGGGCAACAATACGAGAACATTAACGGAGCCCGGGGCGGCCCTGCTGATACCATTACACTGATTTTTACTGATGGTAGGACCTCTTGTGAGTCTGCACCGAAAGGTACCACCACCCTGCCTGTTTCTGCCGTGAAGCAGTAGTGCGTTTCGGTTTGAAGGGTGGGGCAGCCGTTGTAACTATACTGAGACCTTAGAACTTAGATCTCGAGATGGGTGGCGCATTTACGTTGTAAATGTCTATGGGATCCAGTAACCACTTAACAACAAGTGGGTTGTGAGCTCGTCCACCCATCTAAGCAATAAAGAATTAAAAAAATTGGAAAATATTTCACTTCATTTTATTGAAATTAAATAAAAAAAATAAACTAAAAAACACGCTTTTATAGAAAATCCAACGAAAAAAATATAAAATAAATTTATTGTAAAAAAAAGCGTGAGGTGCATGGTCTCAATGGTTATAATAAATATTTTATTGACAGATACGAGTAGAAGGATTATTTTGATAATCTCTTAAAAAGTACCGCACGCTTTTTTTTACAATAAATTTATTTTCTATTATATTTTTTTGTTGGGTTTTATATAAAAGCGTGCTTTTAGCTTTTTTTACCTGTTATTTATTTTTAATTTTTTTGTTTAAGTAGCATTATGTATTATAAATTATTCATTACAAATAGTACATTCACGCAAATACACAATACAAATACAGATTCCAATTTGCTAACTAAACAAAAGAAAACGCTCTAATAAATTTGTTATTTTGACTGCTAAAAGTAAATAACGGGTCTAACTATTTAAAATATTGTATTGTCATCGGTCCTTGATAAGTACGACAAATTTCGAGTTAATCCGACGTTTTGATGGGGATCAAAATCATGTTCAAAGATTCCGTTACATACATACTGACATACGTATGAAGCTAATAAAGGGGTATTAAAAACTTAATTTCGTGTAATGGTAATAAGTCGTGGGTTGTTACCTAAAGTGCAGCGCCTTGTTGGCCAGCAGCCTGTTGGCGTCGCTCCTGCGGACCAGGGGCAGCACCGCGGGCGGCGCGTCGGGCTGCAGCTCGGAGAAGGCGTGGTGCGCCAGGCGGGCCGCCAGCCGCGCCTCCCCCAGCGGCCCCGACACCACCACCCACTGCACCGTGCACGTGCCCATCGGCTTGCTCTTCATTATCAGCTGCATCAGAACACTCCACTCACCCCTGGCGTCATAGAGACACGCCTCCCAGGACTCGATCAACAAGAGGACTAAGAAAGGGGAATGAGTGCCCTATATCGGATCTGCCCACTGACCTGGTAGGTGATCTCGCGCTCGGAGCTCTGGGTGGGGTCCTGCTGGTTCCTGTTGACGAAGGCCTTGACGAGCCACTGGTGCGAGAAGGCCGTGAAGCGCGACGACTCGTAGTACATCTTGTGCACGAACTCGTCCAGGCGGTACGGCTTCAGCTGCAGGTCTGCGCCGCCACCACAGCTTTAACGCAATCAGTAACGGCACCTCCGCGTCAGCCACCGCGGCGCAACAACCTAGGTACTATGCAAGGGCCGCGGTACTTTGTAGATGTGTGATTATTGTTAGACGAAGATATACTTCAATTGGCAAAATTAAACAGGGGCTAAATATATGTGGTAGCGGCTTATGATGCACGACTGACTAGTTGTTAAACAATTACCAGTGAAGGTGATCTTCTCATACGAGAGCAGATCCATTACTTGATTGTAGACGGCCATGGTCTCGTGGCTCAGCCGCTCCCGCTCCGCGATGACCTCCAGCACCTCGGCGGCCGACTTGTTGGGGTGCGCGCAGGCGGCCTCGTGGGCGCCGCCCTCGTGGGCCGGCCCTCGCCACGGACACCCGATGCAGGCGAAGCGGCAGCTCGTCAACCTGTAACAAACTTAACCGTCACATCACCTTTTTTTTCTACCTAAGCTGATAGCCTTGAGAGGCTATTCCAGCGTAACCTTTACTAGTAGGTGAGCTCACGGAGCTCAAATCTGACGACGTTGCCAACACGAACCCTAGCAAGAGCCGTGTTCCCAGAATCTACCACCGGATCAGAAACGTGACCCACTGAGAAGATCCGGCGAGAAACTCAGTGGGCTGTGTCTGAGGGTTAATTTACTCGTCGAGCCCTTCGTCGCAAGCGACTCGTTTGACGAGAACGATGACCGATGCTTGAGGTACCTAAAAGCACCGTTAGTGGATCGGGAGCATCCGAAATGACGCGCACATCCCAAATACGGTTATGTAAAGTCGGGAGTGCCCTAGCCCTGCGACAGCGGAAAAGCCGCTCGGACCTAATTTGAATAGCGGGTGCTCTAAAATAGTTTAAAGTACATTCAACAATGAACTGATCATCATCATCATCAGCTCACAGCCATCCACCGTCTGGTGTAGTGGTAAGTGACATAGTCACTACACAAGGGGGTCGCGGGTTTGAATCCCGCCAAGGGAAGATATTTGTATGATAAATATAAAAAATGTCTTTTCCAGGGTTATGGATGTATATTAAATATATGTAGCTGTATAATAAAAATCTTACATTTATTTCCGTTATCTGGTACCTGTAACACAAGTTCTTTACGAACTTAGCACGGGACCAGTTAACGTGGCGTGATTGTTAGTAAATATTTATTTATTAATTATCCAGTGCTGGACGTAGGCCTCTTCCAATCCACAACACTCTACTTCGAACATCGTACCTCATCAACATCGCATCACCTATATTTCATGAATTATTTTTAATTGACTATACTGGTTATAATTTTAATAACAACACTATAGACAACAACCCGATGTCGTGAAACGACAAAAACATAATTTTTTTATGAAATTTACTGAAGACCATTATGAAGTTGACACGCCCACGCACCTTGAGCTACGAGCTCAAAGCCTCAATTGGACTGTATAGCGGCTGCTCTGCCCTTGGAACCGGTCATGACATCTTCGCGGCAGATGGTGTTGCCGATCCATGCAGGCTTACAATACACATCCCCCTGGTGTTCACGCGATTCCCCGGACTCTGGTAAAACCCGAGTGGGCCTGTAGTCCACCTGAGGTAACGAATATCAGATTGCTAGTACATATCAGACCGATCCCTGGTGACGACACTTCATGGTCTATACCCATAGATTTATCACGGGAAATGGAAAACGTTTAGTATTTTCTTATATGTTCTCGATAAGTACTGGATTGTAAAAATTAATGTATTTTTTTATATCTATAAGCAGCACGAGCATACGTAAGTAAATAGTAATCGTTGCTCAAGGACGTCAGCAATGATAAGGACACGGTCAGGCCGCTGCCTCTGAATACAGACGTTTCGAATACTTTGGAGTTTTCACAGTCACGAATGACTTCAATAAATTTAATAAAACCGACACGAAACTGAACCCTGTAAGAGCAGTGCGTGCTTAATTGTTCACCAAAATATACACAAATGCAAAAATATAACATCTATACTAATATTATAAAGAGGAAAGATTTGTTTGTTTGTTTCGAATAGGCTCCGAAACTACTGGACCGATTTGAAAAATTCTTTTTCCATTAAAAGCCGACATTGTCCCTGATGAACATAGGCTACTTTTTAAAAAAAAAATTATTTTATTTTTTTGGTTTCATGTTTGTATTAATGTTTCCGAAGCGAAGCGAGGGCGGGTCGCTTGTACAAAAGTATAATGAACGAACGGCCTTATTGCTAAAAGCGATCTCTCCCAAACAACCATCAGGTGGACAAGAATTATTTCAGAACCCACGATGGAATGCCACCACTGTGACTATGACGAGGGCACACTACCCCGCATGGCTGGAATAGCGCTGTGTCCTCGTCTCGCAAGTAAGACTGGAGTTGTCGCTGCCGACCGTCGTAGCTGTGATGCTCGGCTTCTGCGAGTCCACCGTCTCGTGGTAGGAAGAGGCAGAACGAAAGAAAGAGAGAGAGAGAGAGAGAGAGAGCTTATCCCTCTCCGTAACGCATGTCGTCCGTAAGCTCCGATAAATACTTAACGCTTGTGGAATATGATCTGACTGCGATCATGAATCGCAATGAACGCAAAACTGCTTTAACTGTCAGGATTGCTGTTTAAACCAGTTCTGCTCTGATTAGTAGGTAGCACTTTTAATTGAATAGTTAGCAAACGACCAATGAAATTACAGGAAATTTAAAATGCAAGAAAAAATACAGTTAACGTTCACTACGCCTAGATGTTCTAGTTAAGTATTACCCGAAAACTAGTTAATAGATGATATTGTATTAGTATGTAATTTTTGAATTGTGCCATTACTGATACTCGTAATAAACAAGTTTGGTTCGCATCCTCGCACTATGTTATTGAATTAGATACAATTAGTTGGGGTGCAGTCGCACAACAGACCTTCGTCGGGCGGGGCGCCTGGCGCGGCCGCAGTGCGTACTGCGCAGCGCCGACACTAGGAGCGAGTACACGCCGGCGACAATGCGAACCAAACTATCGAGGTAGCGCCGCTTCACCGCGTGCGACACAACCAATTGCGAGAACTTGTAACTCCTGAGGGAGAAATTTCACTCTGCTCATTATTATAGCATTATTTGTGAATTATCTCGGTGATAGGACCTCTTGTGAGTCCGCGCGGGTAGGTACCACCACCCTGCTTATTTCTGAAGTGAAGCAGTAATGCGTTTCGGTTTGAAGGGTGGGGCAGCCGTTGTAACTATACTTGAGATCTTGGAACTTATATCGCAAGGTGGGTGGCGCATTTACGTCCTAGATGTCTATGGGCTCCAGTAACCACTTAACACCAGGTGGGCTGTGAGCTCGTCCACCCATCTAAGCAATAAAAAACTTCAGAGGTGTCAAGGGACACCCGGATGGAACGAAGTTCCTTTCGATTAATTAGTGAAGGAATTGTAATTTTTTTTTTTAAGTTATAATAATAAATTACGGCATTATGAAGAAGAAAAAAACAATACTATGAACTAAATTACTATTGTTGAAACGCTATCTCGAGAAACTGTACTCATTACGCGGACCAATCGGATANACTATTGTTGAAACGCTATCTCGAGAAACTGTACTCATTACGCGGACCAATCGGATACGAGCAATGTCACGCGATAAGCGCCTACACGTTGATTGGTCAGAATGACGGATCTAAAAAGTGTCGTGACAACTTTTCGTAAGAATTTTTTCCGTCTAGCCCCCTTTCACAACGCGCGATAAGGAACTTCGTTCCAAAAAAAAAGAATCTAAGTCAGATAAAAACACGACCGTTTATGTCGGTTGAGACGGCTGTTAACAATATTCGAAATGCAATGACATCGATCTAGATAGGTGGCAATACCGTTGCCTGATAGCAAGAACTCGATCAGCTTTGTATGAGGAGACCCAACCGTCAACGCTAGACGCTGTCTGGAAGGGTATTCCATCATGCCTATTAAGGTTTCGACTATAGTATTTTTATAATTCGCAGCGGCATCAGACAGGCCGAGAGATGCCTTAAAAAATATTGACCCCAGAATGACACAGAGTACTACGAGCGATAGCAACTACACTCCACAAATAACACATCTAGAAACACTTTGAAGTATTCGGTGCATTGGTGTCGAGAGATACTACAATGCCGGTGTTCGCATCCTGCAGGAGGGTACCAATATTCCTAGTGACATACGTCCTAAGACATGTTCAAGAAAGACTCACGAAGCAATAATAATAATATTGTGTATTATAAATACCCCCCCATATCGCTGTTGGTAGAGTATATTGTAAGCTCGCACGGGTAGGTACTGCAACTCTCCCTACATCTGCTGCAAAGCCGTCATTCTTTCCGGTTTAAAGTGTATCACAGCCGTTTAACTATAGAACTTAGACCGTATCAAGTTGGCGATATGATTACCGTTGTAAGCCAACGAGCATACGGCCCACCTAATAGTGAGTGGTCACTGTCGCTCATGGACATCAGCATTTCCAGAGGCAGAGCCAAGCCGCTGCCTGTCGCAAATCCATCCAATCCAGCAGACAGGCTGGTCCTGTATATTGTTTTCCTTAAAATATCTTATGCACAAGAATATTATTTCACACAAAATTACGTTTTAGATTCTGATATGTAGTTAGATACGTCAGGTAGAAATGTGCCAGTGCGTCAGTGTGCCAAAAAGGAGTTTGTTAAAAGTCTTTGAACTTTCAGATGTTCATTTCGATCTTAAATGTTGACCGATTGGAACCAGCTAACCGACAGTTCGTGGGGCTGCTGCCTTTGGTTCTTAACTTTTTACTTTTCTTGGCTTTATACACAATAAAATTTTGATTTAATTTCGCTTCTAGTAATTTCATCTCTTAACTTACGAATTTCTAAGGTTTAGTAATACAGAACAGTACTCGACAACTGAAAATGGCGAGATACAAACGTACAATACAATGTATTTCTATTAGCGTGCGTGCACGAAGGCTTTAATACGTACCTTTCTTCACATTGATTCTCCTCGTGGTTAGGTAGCGAATGTCGCGGGAACACGCTAGTGCAGTACTTGCACTCCAATGGCAGTTCGGAGACTGTCTTCTCGACAGCCAAGTTCCTGGAGGCTGACGTCTTGGATATTTCGACACGACAGTTGGGACATGTAGCAGACTCCTCACGGAGACGGGCATCTGCCAGTAAGTGAGTGAAGCAAGCGACACACATCAGGTGTCCATTTATGCACTGCAATTTGAATGGTGTTAGACAGAGTAATTACATTTATCAAACAAAGGTTTTTCAATTGAGGACAAAACTGAACTGACTTTAATATATATTTTTCATAGTATTTTTTTTTTAATGTTACAAATGTTCAATCTATTTTTATATTAGACTAGTGAATCCTGAATGTATTGATACTACTTGCGTGCCACATTTTATACACATGGTACTACCTGGACATACCATATAAATGGCTTAGAAGAAGCACAGGACAAACAAACACACATAAAAACATATATAGAAAGATAAACCTAACCAAAAAAAAAATTATTCTCAGTATCCAATCTGCATGAATATTATAATATACTTTGTTGTGCATAAAACTTAAAAAATTGAGGATCTGATATTTAAAATTTTGTGATAGAAGTCACAGCCAATATATCTACCCATTTCAGGTTTAGGGTCTCTTTCACCTAGTCCTATTACTGCCACTTTGACATCAATTCAATGTCATTTTACAACCAATTATGATGCTATTTTGATTGATTGATTGCATGTTGTTGTTGATGTTGATTTGAAATCAAATTATTTGAATATTAACTTTACTTGAACCATTACCACAAACAGGTTTTATTTAAAATTAATGTATTTGAAACTTCAGATAGTGGGAAAATCAGTTAAAAAATCTGTGAAACTAATTAATAAAATCATTGTGAAATTATAATCTAATGATTGTTTTGATTGTATTTTACAACTCATCTTTAAATTTAGTAATACTTTTGTAGATGTGTTTATTACTTTACTAAAATAATATTTATGAAGTGTCTGTGATTTAGTAGTGTGTGCTTATATTAGTATATTTATATAGTTTGGTACTAATTGCACTTAGAAACAGTGAGCAACAATTATATTCAATATGAAAGTTGTCATCTACTATATTTGCAAATTTTATTGTTTTATGTGTTAGCATACATTAATATATCTATTTATTGTATTGCCTTTGTAAGCAAACGAGCATGTGGCCCACCTGTTAGAAGTGACCACTGTCACTCATAGACATCAGCAATCCAAGGGGCACAATTAGACTGTGCCTTATGCAAATAAATGCAGTAGTTATACAGTAGACAGCAGCGTGTCTTTGTCCCTGACATATCTAGTGTACATGAGTGGTGGTAGCCTCTCTCCAGTTATTGGGCGATTTAATGGTCTACCCTACCAGTAAAGACAGTAAAGAAAAACATTACTAAAATTTGATACATGAAATGCAGCTGTATGTTGTTTTGTTTATCAGTAATCACCAGCACTACCATTATTTATTTTCTGGATGAACTCAATACACCCTAATTTTTTTTGTTGTTTAACTACATAAGCAATTTATTTAATGTTTGGAGGAATGAGGGATAGGTATGGTGAATGAAAATAAAGAATTATATCTCTGAAACATTTCTTTATTGACATTGAAATGTTACAAGAGTTTTACTAATTACTAAAGCACACTTTACTAATTACCTAAAACACATTTACTATTATCAATAACATGACAAATATATTGTTTACTTAATAATTGTTTGATACATCCTACCGATACGCTTCTGTGCTATCTCAAAACACAAAAAGAATACAGGACAAAACTATCAGATCGTAAATCTATCAAGAACCCATTAATTATGATTACAGCCGACAAACAAGCTAAGACGCAACCGTATATCTCATTAGTTTAATTCCACTTCACACTGGGTCCTGCCTTTAAGCCATAGTGATCATTAAGTACTGACAAAGTGCAGCAACGAACAAATATAGACAACAAATATATTTCGTAATTAAGTTAAGTAATAAATATATAGAAAATCGCCTTTTGGAAGGTAAGAGCGACTGTTGTCTACTTTACCTGGTATACAGCCGATTGGGGCAGATCGAGGCAAACTGCGCAGCACAAAATGCCACCGAGCCTGTACTCGAGTCTCTCACTGGCATCAGCCTCTAGCATTCTACGTCTCTTAGGCAATGGACCTTCGTCTTCCGTTACTTCTGCCGCAACTAATTCATGGCTTGATGATGGCAATGGCTCACATGGAGGTTCACTTTCTGGAGCTTCAGCCATTTCCAAAAAGGTAAACAACAATGAACTACAATTATTTTATCACTTGATTTGAAGACACTAATGATAACAACTATTATTGTTTGACTTTCTACATGCAAACAAAGGAAGGTTTGTTGTGTTTATGTCTAAGCCATCCATAGACTATTTTATTTGATTTGTCCAATTGACTTCGGCAAAAGGAATGCAGACTATAAATTTATAGCAAAATGATCAAAGCTATCAAATGAATACTGAAAATAACTAATATGAAAAAAATTAAGATTAAAATAATATTAAGATTAAAATAATATTAAGATTAAAATAATATTAAGATTAAAATAATATTAAGATAAAAATTAAGATTAAAATAGCTTCTCGGTAAAATAATGAGAATTTACTGAGAGTTAGACTTTTTGAAAATCATCTGCGACAGAACAAATCTGTTACTCACACTTGTGCACTTATCTGTATCAAATTGTTAGGTAAGCAACCACTATAGCATGTTTTCTAAAACCAGATTAAGCACTATATAAAACGAAAATTTTTACACAGATGTAGATTCGAAGACACTTGACACATGGTAGGCAGCGGCTTGGCTCTGCCCCTGGCTTTGATTGTTGATAGTGAAGTGTGTGCGGTGTCAGTAGTGCTACTCGACCGCATGTTGTTTTGTTGGTAATATTGTGCGCATAGACAGCTATGATTAGACAGTGCATTTCCAGAGGTTTTTTTGCCACGTACCATCCGGCTATGGAATGAGCTCCCCTCCACGGTGTTTGCTGAGCGCTATGACATGTCCTTCTTTAAAAGAGGCTTGTGGAGAGTATTAAGCGGTAGGCAGCGGCTTGGCTCTGCCCCTGGCTTTGATGACGTCCACGAGTGACGGTAACCACTTACCATCAGCTGGGCCGTATGCTCATCTGCCTACAAAGGCAATAAAAAATAAAAATAAATAATCATCATATTATTTGGCTGCCAAAAAGTAAAGACAAATAGTATGTTAGATATTAAATACCATTTGTATTACAATGCTTTTTGGCTCTCATTCTCATTTACAAATCTCAAACAATTATGTTTAGTATACAATTAATTAATTATAGTATAAAGTTGTATACAAGACTGAATAAGGCAATGAGATATTTATTTTAGTAATTGTGTTTTAACCAACTTGACATGCATATGGATGCCAGTATTCACAAACATTCATATACTACTGAGGAAATCTTTAAAGTAAGGATTAGTGTTAATTGCATGGTACAAAATACTATTTTACTTTAATTACTTTGAGGCAGAAATGTGTAGATGGTTGTGGCTATCCATAGAGCTATAGTACTATACCTCTATAATGCTACAGCTGCTGGGATTCATTCATTAAACTGCTTACAAAAATGTTATAGTAAAAGCATTTTTATTTCCTGACATTTGACTGATATCTTTTATGTAGAAATCCATGATTATATTTTTCAACACTTTTATTATTGATCATTTATTTAATATATTTTTAAGACAAATTTATCTATATACAATTTATAGCATAGATTATAATTGTATCTNAATGCTACAGCTGCTGGGATTCATTCATTAAACTGCTTACAAAAATGTTATAGTAAAAGCATTTTTATTTCCTGACATTTGACTGATATCTTTTATGTAGAAATCCATGATTATATTTTTCAACACTTTTATTATTGATCATTTATTTAATATATTTTTAAGACAAATTTATCTATATACAATTTATAGCATAGATTATAATTGTATCTTAGTCCATCTAATGATCATCATTCAACATTTACAGCTGAATGACGTTTCTCACGTCAGATCTTTGGTTTTTTTGGTAAAGATCCAAAAGCAGCAATGACGGTTCCCTTTGTGCCAGTGATGTTTGTTGTCAGTGGTTGTTGCACTAGGCCTGGTTGTTTGATATTCGGCTTAGAGCCTATATTGGGAGCGGCTTGATCCCATTTTGATTTTCTTTTCTTTTCATCGTCACTTTCAGGTTTCTTGGCAACTCCACTGATAAAGTCAATTTTTGACAATTTTTCTTTTTTTTCTTTCTCTCTTCTCTCCATTTCCAGTTTTTGAACTTTAGAGAGTTCCTCATAGTAAGATTCTTTCCCCCATTTTAATGGATCATATATTTCTGGAGGATAATTTGTATCAAGTTCATTGATATCACAGAATTGTATCAATTTTTCATATATACTTGGATTCCTAAAATTTTTCTTGTCCTGTATGATTCTATTCATGTCAAGTCCTTCTGTTAACATGCGGTTGTAAAATTTTGCTATAGATTCTTGTAGTTCTTTGGGACACTTTCCCGATGGTTCAGGTGGGATTGTGATGCCGTCTTCGGAGTCATCAGGGTCTGATCGCTGTACTGCTTCGTCTGTGTCGGTCTCCATGGACAAACGGCGCATGTCATCTTCATTTTCATTAACTGGTGATGTCGGTTCTTCGTCAGACACTATCGTGTCATCTACGTAGCTAACTAGACTTTTCTTAGGGGAAACTGGAGCTGAGGCTGGCTTGTTACTTTCCTCCACTTTCCGAGGACTGGTCGGGACGGAATGAGCTTCTTTTGGCTCTTCTTTTTCAGGCGTTTGGTCTTCCATATCTTCTTCGCCTTCAGAGTCGGTGTAAGTCGCTGTGAGCGACGCTAACGCTTGGGAAGTCATTATGTTGTTACAGCTTATGTTACACAAAGGTTGCTTTAATAGAATATGGCAACTTTCTTTAAAACCAAATACCCATTTAATTTAAGCAAAAAACACGTCTAAATATTCTAACTAACTCTAACATAAAATAGATGAAAATGACATATGACATTCAATCAATGTTTATTTGGCTTGTTTGTACATTCAACAGGCAAATGGAATATAGCCCATAGCAAACAATGGAATCCTTGAGGTCAAAAGCTTTGCTGTTAAGCCTGCAATACATATTGGTCGAGCGTCGCCCATTGAACGCCAATATCAACGTCTTGCCATCGCTCGGTGTCGTTCACCTAGTTAGCCGAGTAAAGTCAAGCGCTAACGTGTTTAAAACTCATTTGGCGTAGCTTGTCGCAACTTGCGGTCTTGCTCGCGACCACTTGCCGCACTTCAGGGCGCTGTCGGTTTTTCTGCACAAATCAAAGGGGCTAGCACGCACTAGGCCAATAGTACTGTCTACATGTTTGTCAGCGCGCCATCACGTGGTTGGCGACGGTCGTGTGTACGCGTACAAAACGTCACTCTCAACTGACGGAGCCCAACGTGTGGCATCTCTTCAAAATTCGTCTTTATTGACCATTTGCATTGGTTTTGGATAACCTGCCGAACGTGTAGGCAGTAGCACTTGCCTTGCACAATTTGTCTACGCTCGCGTTGGCCTAAGCTCGACCAACATGTATCGCAGGCTTTAAATGAAAAGTGAAATGAGACGGAATCAATTAAAATTGACGATAGAATGAAATTAAATGAGATAAGCAAACACTAATTGAATCATTGTAATTCACTTTTTGTCAAATCGGTATACACGTCTTTAATCTTGTCTGACATAAGATTCTGGGAAGCTAAAGCAAATTTTAGAAAAATGTCAAAAGCAATTATATATTATGCAAACTTATATTCGAACTGTCGATAGCGCACTTTAGTTTTTGTCAAAAGTCCATTGTGCTCACACCGCATACAAATAATAATAGCAGAATGAGAGCCTTTCTTAAGTCATTTAAATAGGTACATTTTTTTCTATGGCTACTGCTATTTACGACTTACATACTAAATCTTTCTAAAACGTCAGACGTCAAAGCAAAGCTTTCAATTTTACTTTTGACATTACTCCCTGACGTTTTACGTTGAAAATTTGTGAAACGAATGATGGGGGTGTCACTGTCGTGTAGAAGAATCTGAATTTGTGTTCACCGTGATATTTGAGATGTTTAAAATAGTATTTAGAAGTTAAAGTGTGCTATACTACTGCATGATTAAGCTCATATAAAATGGCTACCCAGCCTAATGATTATACCGAATTCCCTACGGAGATCATTCTGAAACCTCTGGCCCTGATAGGACTATCTGGACTTGATGCAGTTAACAATGCCGTTCACAAAGAAATCTGGGACGCATTCGCGAATAACCGACGCGCTGATCGCACGCCTGTGAGATTCAAATTACTTAACAATACGTTTGAGTTTCCAGTGGTAAAGCCTAAGAGAAATTCATACGAATGGTACATACCTAAAGGCATACTAAAAAAAAACTGGATACACAAGCGTGTGTCGCTAATACCCGCTGTCATAGTCATTTTCTATGATATGGATTGGAATGATACACAGTGGAATGAGAAAATTATAGAATGTGCATCCAAAGTCCAGTCTATCCGTGCTGCAGTAGAGGGACATGCTACTCGTGTGGCTGTAGTAGTCATACAAAGTCGGCAATCTCCTCCTCCTTCTGAGTACATGCTTGGAGCCGAGCGTGCCCAGGCACTTTGTGCTGCTTGTGAGATCCAGTCTAAATCCTTGTTTGTGCTTCCTCATGGTGATCACTTAATGGGTTATATAGTCCGGTTAGAAAATGCATTTTATGATATTGCACAAAATTATTACCACCATGAAGCAAAAAACATTAAGCAGCACAGAGACCACCTCAATAAAACAACACATCAGTATCTCTTTGTCAGACATCAGTTCAAACTGGGCTATCTGAATGAGTTGAAGCAGGACATCAATACTGCACATAAGCATTATGTTCATGCTTACAACAACCTGCTGGAAACAAGAACAGTAGATACAAACCTGCATGAAGTTAGAACAGTTGCTGGCTATATTAACTACAAACTGTGCAAGATACTTTTTGCATTGAATTTGCCAAGAGATGCAATTTCACAATTAAAATCTCACATTGAGAAATACAAAAGTAGAGTTGGTTCTACTGACCTACTGTTTGAACATTATGCGTGGCTAGCTAGACAGTACAGTGCCTTTGGAGAACTTTTTGATGAAGCTATCAGGGCTGGTCTACCAGCCATTCAATCTCAGCATCCTGGGTTTTACTACCAGCATGCAGCTCAGTTTACTGTAAAAAGAAGACAGGCTATGCGCTCTCTTTGTGCTGAAGCATTACAGTATCCACCTGCTCCAGATCCTCTAGATGGTATTCTAGAATATTATGGTCAGCGACCTTGGAGACCTGGTCGTTTAAGTGCAGATCCTCATGACCCTCAAAAAGAACAGGCAGCTATCTTAGCTCTACAATACAATGAAAGGATATTCAATCATTCTACAATCATCATCAGCTTCCTTGGCAGTGCTATCTCACAGTTTAAGTCATTTCACTCTCCTAGAATGAGGAAGCAACTAGTAGTTGAAATGGCAAATGAATATTTTTATTCTGCTGACTATGGGAAAGCACTAACTTTGCTGACTCACATGTTGTGGGATTACAGGAGAGAAAAATGGTGGTATTTAGCTTCACATGTCTTGAACAGAGCTCTGCAGTGTGCATACCTTGCAGCAAAAATACAAGACTATTTACAGCTGTCAATTGAAGCACTCTCTAAAAATATCCAGGTGCCAAACAATGATAAAGATAGGATATTCAGAAATATAATGTCTGTTATACATTTAAACATTCCAGCTCCTGAACCCGACCTGCCATCCTCTTCTCAAAGCAAAGCTGTGGAATTGTGGCAGTCCATGATCGAAAAAGAACCTTTGCAGGTTGCTGTGGATATGGCCAACATCTCCAGTTTTTTGGAAATCAAACCTAAATTCAAACAGATGAAATATAGAATGGATGAGTTAATTGAAGTGGAACTGTATGTTAGGCTAACATATCCAGCTGTCCTAGAAGTAAAGAAGGTGTATTTGACAATATCTAGTCAATCTGAGACTATTGAGATCCCAGTAGATGATGATATTAATCAGACCATAACATTAGAAGGGGGCAAAGTGAAAAGGTTTTTGTGTCAGTTCAAACCTAATCCCAAGGATGTTGGATCGGATTTACAGATAAAATGTGTATCTTTTGTTCTTGATTCTGAAAGGAAAAGAAAAATTATATTGAATTTTAAAACTGATGACAAGAAGTCAGAGTTAATTATACATCCAGAATTGTTACACTTCATCATGAGCCCTAAATCTGACTATGAATTTGATTGCATTGTGCCTTTGAGAGTAGCTTCAGTAACATCAAGAGAATGTAAATGGTCCATTGAAGTTACAAATTGTAGTCCTGCTCTACAGGGAGAATGGTTTCCAACCACTTTCACAGTAACAAACAATGAGGAAATTGCTGTATCTAGTACACAGATAGCATTATCTTTATTAAGTTCACCTGAAAATCCTAACCCTGAGTCAGTAACAGATTTAAGTTTGAAAGAAGGTGAAGCTCAGTTACAACCTTTACATATTTCTGTGGGAAATGTTAACAGATCAGGAACTCACACTAATACATTCTACTTAAAAACAAACAGAACAGCCACAATAACAGTTCAAATTAGAATATCATACATCATAGATCTTCCTGCAATCAAGAAACTAGAGTGCATGAAGGATTTTACATGTAAAATAACTGTCATCAAACCTTTTGAAGTAACCAGTGCATTTGTTAGTACAGACTTTAGTCCTATTTCTAAATGCTTTGTTGATGACCCCTTTATTGTCATGCCACAAATTAAAATTTTAAGTCCTTGGGATCTTTTAATAATTGACACAGAATTAGAGGTAGTCGATTCATTTAAAAATACAGACAAAACTAAGCCTATATCCTGCATCAGAAATCTAGAAGTGGCAGAGAAAAACATAGCTTCAGATGCAATTTGTATTCAAGCTAAATACAATCCTAAAGATAATCCAACTCGAGTTGGTTTGTACAATATAACTTGGCGACGGAAATCTAATCTTAATGGGCTCTGTGTGATGAGCAGCACTGCTTTATCAGGACTGCCTATAGATCAGTGTCCTGTATCAGTGAAAGTAGACTACCCTGCTGTAATAGAACTACTAACATCAGTCCCACTCAAATGTATTTTAAAAGGAAACACAAACACTCCAATAAGACTCAGTCTTGTAGTGAAATGGACAGATGACTATATATTTTCTGGATACAAGAAACTATCAGTAACGGTCCCACCCAAGGGACAAGTAGAGCTAAAATATAATATCCGTCCCTTATTTGCTGGTAACACAATGCCCCCTAGAATTACTGCAACAGTCATAGGTGATAATTCAAGTCAGGATGCAGTCAGTGAAATGTTTGAAAAAGCTTTCCCTGAAACTATTTTCGTTGTGCCTAAGTACAATAATTAAATGAGAATGTAAATTGCAATTACAATGTTGAGTTAATAACTGTATATAATAGAACAAATCTTTAGATCTAATAAAGTTACCCTGTAATTAAAAATAAATAAATTTTGTTATTTGTTATAAATGAGTTTTTATTCAGAAATATAAGTAACAAAATTATTTTCTTGTATGAAATATTTATTACTTTTTTTTGTAACAAATTAATCTTTGCGAAGTTCAAATTTCTCTTCTTGAATACCACTTGCAGTGATGATGAGAATGTAGATGGAGTCTCCAGTGTAAATGTCACGTTCTGCAGCACTGATGAACACATCCTTCAGAAGAGCAAGGGCCTTTTCCCTAGGCAAAGGAGCTTCTGTTACATTCTGCATATTCTTTAAGCCAATTTGATTGTCGAGGAGCGGTTGCAGCTGTGCAGCAGCGGAACCACCAGCGCGGAAGTTATGGCGCGCACAGTGTCCGATAGGGTCGTAACTATATACACATCCCTTACCGTCGCTGTCCAAACCCGCCAACACGTTGGATACGTAGTATGGGAAAAATCGTTTGTAATACAACATAGTTGAGAGCATCTGTGCGACTGCCGGAGTGGTCATAGATTTGTTATGCTCGTGTTCGTACATCTGCATCCTCGCTTGTAGAAGACGCGTCAAGGTTAATGTGTCACACCAGCAGCCAGTCGCTCCCAATACTGTACTCTCAGATAATTTGAACAGCTTTTTTTGGTCTCTGGTATATATGGAAAATCCAGTGCTGAGACGAGTGTCTGCTCCGATAACGGCATAATCATCGCCGGCGATGGCTACAATACTACCTCCGTTGTCCGCGTAGGGCTCGAAACGATGCTGTTTCGCACCAGGCACAGCATATTCAGGAAAGTTCTCGTTAACGCTCAACATTTTGTATGATTTTTATGGAAAAATTAGTTTTATTCGCTTCGAAATACTTCGAATCGAGTGACATGCACAAATTGTTTGATTTTTTTTCGAATTAAAATGACATTGACATTTGACGTATGATTTTTTTTTAGGGATTTTATGACCTGATAACTAAGACCCTTAGGTCAATTCTTATTTTAATTTATATTCTTATTTTATGAAAAATGATAATATGGAGTGAAATGAAATGAAGATGATTAATTTGAGACATTAATCAACTAGGATGAAATTAAATGAAATGGGATGAGATGATATTGGATGTACTTTATTCTCAGTAAAATTGTGGTCATTTAGTGCGATTTTTTCAGTGGACTTTCGGAGGATCCCGTGAAGTTATGTCCAGCGGATTTGTTTCATTTTCCCACATCTGTGCACTTTTACAGATATTAAACAATTAATAAACCACCGTTATTACACTTTTAAACTTGAAGAAACACTACATAGACAAAATAAAACAACACACACAACTTCACTCCTCGCGTTCCCACCAAAAAATCTCTGATAATTAGAATGACAAAATTGAAGAAGACTATAAAATTGCGTCAGGTTTTTTTATTGCCTTTGTAGGCAGATGAGCATACCTGATGTTAAGGGGTCACCGTCGCTCATGATTTTTCCAAAAAACACTTTGGGATCTCTTCTGACTTTGCACCATTTTACTGCAACGATATGAGTTTCAACTCATATAATTGAATTAAATTTCGTAAAATATGCAAAATGGAATTAATGAAATATATATATAAAAAATTCAGTACCTAAATATACCTTATACGTATTAAAAATACCTTCCAATGGTAGGCAGCCACAGTTGCAATTCCCATCGCTATTAGAATATTTATAGTCTATTCTATATATTCACAAGTCAATATATAAATTATAAAGGACAAATTACGCAACCGAATGGCAATAGAAACTGCCGAAGCGGTACTCGATATTCGATATTCGCTGCCAAATGGATGCATACATTTTGTTCCCACATCGGACATGTTAAAAATCTTTATCTCCGAAAACGTGTATGCTTTAAATAATAAAAACAAAAGTGAATATAAGGGCGGATCCAGCTTTGGCGCCAGGAGAGGGTCACATAGTCAAATTTAGATGCGTTCGTCCCCAAACGTTTGCCATTATACAAAGTTATTATATTAAATTAATTAAATATTGAAGGTACTTAGTTACAAAAAATCTGTATGGTGACAAAATATATAAATAAAATCATTATATTCAATTAGTGGTCCACCTAAGTCCTGGACCCAGCTCAGGGGGTGGTCATGACCCCCATGACCCTCCCCCTGGATCCGCCATTGAGTGAATATGATTGTAATAATTGTCTAGAGATGGTTGAAGTTATGGGAGAGCTTGATTAAAAAATAATAATTTTTTTTATTCTTTAAAATAAGTAAAAACTGCTTTGGGGCTTTTTTTTCAAAAAGCTTTTTTTTTTTTTATTGCTTACATGGGTGGACGAGCTCACAGCCCACCTGGTGTTAAGTGGTTACTGGAGTCCATAGACATCTAAGACGTAAATGCGCCACCCACCTTGAGATATCAGTTCTAAGGTCTCAGTGTAGTTACAACGGCTGCCCCACCCTTCAAACCGAAACGCATTACTGCCTCACGGCAGAAATAGGCGGAGTGTTGGTATCCACCCGCGCGGACTCACAAGAGGTCCTACCACCAGTTATTGCGCAAATTATAATTTTGCGGGTTTCATTTTTATTACACGATGTTATTCCTTCACCGTGGAAGTCAATCGTGAACATTTAGGGGGGTTTTTGAAAAAAGTTGAGGGGAAATTCACACGGTCATCTGGTAGCACTGTAGGCAGCGGCTTGGCTCTGCCCCTGGCATTGCTAACGTCCATGAGCGACGGTAACCACTTACCATCAGATGGGCCGTATGCTCATCTGCCTACAAAGACAATAAAAAAAACCTAACGCAATTTCTAGTCTTCTTCAATTTTGTCATTCTATTTATCAAACTTTTTGGCGGGAAAACGAGAAGTGAAGTTGTGTGAATTTTTATCTAGTTTATTTAGTATTTCTTCAGGTTTTGTAATTTGTAATATTGGTGGCTTATTAACTGTTTAATATCTGTGAATATGCACAAATGTGCTAAAATGAAACAAAGCCGCTGGACAGTTTCTGGGGATCCACTAAAAAGGTCTTAGAAAAATAAGCGCCATTTTACTGAGGTTATTTCTCATCCTATGTTATCACATCTCATTTCATTTAATTTTATGTCAATTGATTAATGTTCCGTATTAGTAAACTTTATTTCATTTCACTGCATATTATCATTTTTCATAAAATAATATATAAAATATTAGGCATTATGGTAAGATACCTTTGTCTTTCCAGTTGGAAAACTAGAACTACTACTACTCACTGAATTGACTGACGTGTATTATTTACTATTGCAAAATAAATAAAATCACAATAAAATGTCTTCACTTACTGCTGTAATTCCAAAATTGTATCAAGAATACACAACGAAAACTCCTAAGAAGCTTAAAATAATTGATGCATACCTTTTCTATATTTTCCTTACTGCGGTCATACAATTCGGCTACTGTTGCCTTGTCGGCACTTTCCCATTTAATTCTTTCTTAAGTGGTTTTATATCTACAGTAAGCTGCTTTGTTCTTGGAGGTTAGTAGAAATAAAAAATATATTTCAAAAAGTGCCATAAATTAATGATAACCGCATAACCTATTAATATTTTTACCCACAATAACTTCGCATTTGATTCTCTATCTAAAATTGCACATTTCATCCTGAGCCATTATATTACCTAAACTTCGGATAATTAATAATATAACCGTTATATTATGTCACTAATGGTCTCTGATCAATTAGTAGTTATAATTTGAAACTTTAAGGTACGGCGCTCTGTATGGATTATTCTTTAGTCTACCGAAAAAGATAACATAGTAACCACACTGTTTAGTGCATTTAATCTACAATTAATTTAGTGCAAAAATAAGATAAACAAAGATTAGCCTGCAAAGTTTGGTTTGTAAATACTTACATATACTTACGTATACATTTTAATCACGTTTTAAGTTGAAATAAACTATTTGAATTTCTTCACAGTGTGTCTTCGGCTACAAGTCAATCCAGAAAACAAGAATGAGTTCCAAGGGTTGAGTGCCGAACGTGGCTTTGCAGATTTCATATTTGCACATCTGGTGTTGCATATTGTTGTTATCAATTTCATAGGATAAAATATAAACTGTTTCATATATTATCTCAATAAATTGCACTTAAGAACTACAATTTAGTTTTATTGCCCCTTTACTAAAGTTTCACACATATACTTGTTGAGATACTACTAATAAAAATATGCACCTATGGTATCGATGATGCTCTAGTCTACCAGTGCAGTGGTAATTTTTTAATGCCTTTCTTGAACAAAGCAGGTGTATGGGACCCAACCTTCCTAGGCTCTTCAAACCATTTATTAGACAATTAGAATTTATCAATGTTCAATGTTGACAATAAAGTTTTAGTATAGCTACAATGGCTGCCCCATCCTTCAAACCGGTACGCATGACTGCTTCACGGCAGAAATAAGCAGGGTGGTGGTACCTACCCGTGCGGACTCGTAAGACGTCCTACCACCAGTCAACCTGACAACAGAGGGAACCCAAAGTCGCGTGTAGTCGCTTTTTTCCTTGTCTTTGAATGCCGTCTTAACGTCACACAGAAGGTTAAGTATCGATGAGGATAAACGACCTTTCAAATGGTCTCCCAAAGTGATTCTAATCGTGAAATATAAATAAGTAGATTTGAATGACATTTAAAAAGAAAACTGGATCGTCGAAGGACTTCTTGTTGGACAGACAATCAGGGTTGACATTAGGTTATTACAAAGAGAGTGGAAAGGAAATAAAACATAAAATAATTTTAAGTCTTATTATTTTATTTGACTAGTAATCAATAGACGTACAGTGTTCTGAAGCGGCCGGAACAGATACGGGAAACAACATCTTACATAACCACTAAGTACAAACTTTACGTTGCTTCGTCCCGGTACTGAACTCGCATTATTTCTTAAAATATATTTAAATTTACTTCTAAAAACAATTCATTTTAAAATTAATCTGGATACAAAGCATAACGAGAGTTATTAGGTACAGAAAGCGTTTAAATTTTACGTAAAAATATTGTAGTGCTATAAAGTGCAGAAATATTGAAAAACCAAATTAAGACAATATTTTAATATTTTTTTGAAATTGCACAGGAAAACTGGACAAATTAATAATAATTGAAAACTGGATCAAACACAGGTGGTAACGTATTGGTAACGGGCGTGTATGAATATCGCGCAGCACTCCATACAACTCGAGGCGCTACAACAAGTCCAATCGGTACTGTCGCGACGTGTCGGCGCCGGACAGTCGACGACACAAGTTTACTTTACACAAATATTAAATGAGTACGTACTTTTCTGCATTCGTAGTTGTTTAAAACGTCTTCTGATTGCTCTACCATTTTATTTTATTAAATTTCATATATTTTTATATTCCTTTTATATTTAAATGTTTTAACGCTACTACAACAGTGATCATTATCTCCTTCAAAAATCTCGCATGTCACAAAAACGTCATATGGTAATTTAACTTTTTATGATACTCCTAACATTGCGCGTCAGCGTTCAAGTTATAAATTGAATCATTACTTATAGTTGCCGATTTTTTTAAAATTTCAATTTGTACATAAATGTTGCCAATATTGAAATATTACTTTTTCGAAACAGCGAGGACGGTTGAAATTTAATTTGCTTACTGACTCTACAGTAAATTTTCACACGAGACAGTAGATATACTAATCGACATACAAAAATACATTCGGAACGACGCTAGTGCAGGTGCACCGGACACGACCGCTGGGCACGCGAGCGCGCATTGTACTGGGGGCCGGGGGGTTGGGGCGGGGGGGCGAGTCAGCTGCGTGGTGGCGCCGCCTCGCCGCGCCGCTCGAGGTACCGCCTGCGCGCCGCCGCCACCAGCATCTCCTTCCTGCGTCTCAGGTTCTGTTCTCGTTCGGGCGCGTTTCTCGAGAATATAGCGCTGGTCGACCCAACGTCTAGACTGAAATCCAAACGTTATTATTTGACGACCTCCACTTTTCGTGAAGTAATAAATTAGTAAGTCTGCATATTTTGTACCATTGGCACGAAGTTCCTTAGTGAGGATTGGGGTAGGGATTCACTGAAATTCTCATGTAACGAAAAAACATCAAGCCTTTGGCTCTTGACGTAATCATAAACAAAAGCGACCTTTTAAATTCGGGTGCAGTTAGCGATGCATATTTAGTTGACTTCGGCTACACTGAAGTTATTTTCTTTTTTGTATTATTTTTAATTTGCTTAACTTTAGTGAATGTTTCTATTAAATTCATTTATTATCGAAAAAAATATGTGTTTTGTTTTCTTTTGTTTTAATCGTCTCAACGAAAACAAATGAAGAGTAAATAGTAGTTGTGCGCGTTCTGACTGTTCGAGGCACAGGATGTCTTACACTGTCTCCATCTACATACATATATATATACATATACAGTAAGCGGTGTTTGTATATACGCCGCGTGTGTAGGAAACATAACTAGACGCATTACGTACTTGTCCAGCGCGGGCTCCGCGGCGGGGGGCGCAGGCTCCGGAGCGGGGGGCGCGGGCTCCGGGGCGGGGGGCGCCTCGAGGGGCGAGATCGGTCTTACTGTCGGTGCTTCTGTTCAATTCATTGCCATTTATCATTTAGTAACATTCAACTACAGGTGGTAGAGCGTCTTGCAAGCCTTTAAGTGTAGGTATCACCGCCTTGGCGACAAGTCATGTCTTATTTTAATTTTCATTCTTATTTTTATGAAAAATGATAATATGGAGTGAAATGAAATGAAGATAATTAATTTGAGACATTAATCAACTGGGATGAAATTAAATGAAATGAGATGATATGGGATGAAATATAATGTATGGGGTGGTACCTGCGGGCGGCTGCAGCCTGCCCTCGAGGATGTTGTCGAGCGTGAGGTGCGCGGAGCGGGTGAGCAGCAGGTCGGCGCGCAGGGCGGCGGGGTCAGCCTGCGGGAACATGCCCAGCACCTGCGCCACCATGGCGTCCAGCTGCGCGGCGGAGGGCCGGGCGCGGGTCACCTCCACGGAGAAGCTGGGCAGCCACGACACGTAGCGGGAGCCTGCAACGCGTCATGCTCCACCAGTAACACTACCTACACTGTTCAATTACTGTTTTGACACATCTATGGAGGAGGAGCGATCAGTCAACTTTGCACAAAGCAACAAAAACTTGCAACAGAATGGAAACGTGGAATGCTCCATAAGTCGCTGATAGCACGCGGCGCCGCACAGTCTGCGCGCCGGCGCCGCACAGTCTGCGTGCCGGCGCCGCACAGTGCACGGATTCTTTTCGTCCGAGTAGGCAATCGTTGAATTTATATAATACTGACACACGACAGGCTGTATCTAAGTTTGAGTCATGACTGGCGACCCGCGCCGGCTTCGCTCGGGTCCATCAGGAGTCAGTTGAAACTACACTACAGTTAATAAAGCTTTGTATTACTTTTAATATCATTTGTAAATTTATTATTTGAAACGAGAAACAAGTTTGTACTGTTTATCCCTACAGCCTTTCATTCCCTAGTCTACCTTCACGGGGATGAAATGTCCAGAAACTGTCGTACCGTCGAAGTGGAAGAGGTGGTTGTGCGGCGGGGTTGGGGGCGGGGGCGGGGGCGCGCCGTGTGCGAGGCCGCGGCGGCACGTGGGGCACGACGCGTCCTGCTGCACCCACTGGCACAGGCACGAGCTGCGCACAACACACCGCACTCACTCTACCGACACTTTATCCTCATGCAATTTAAAACCCGACCATACATCTTAATATATATAAATTACGTGTCACGTTGTTTGTCCGCGATGGACGCCTAAACTACTGAACCGATTTTAACCTTTTTTTTTTAAATATTTTTTTTCAACTTAGACCACATGATGGTTTTTATTTCGATTAATGGTTGTGATATTTATTAATTAACAATAAAATGATTTCTTATGTTGATTATTATTATTAATTGTAAGTTTCATAAGTCTAAAACAGGTGACGCCTTAAGTCAGTTTTTACAGACAGTTATAATACTGTCTGACATTAATATCTCATAGATGGCGCTGTGTTAAAAATACCAACGTTTCACATAAGCTACAATGTAACGGCATAAACACCACGTGTTGCTGAGGCTGATGAGATAAGTGAAATTTATTTCGTAGTAAACAGAATACAGTGAGAACCAATTGTTCTTACTTTGTTAATTTTGGGTATTAGCCGGCCACGTGTTATTTAGAAACAAAAACATTAGCCACAGCAACGTGTGGCCGGGTCTGCTAGTTAGAAATAAATTAAGAAACAGTACACAGAGAAGGCTCTCCGCGGCAAAGGTTGATGCTCGCTCTCTTCTCGTCCCACCTATTTACTACAACATTACTGTGTCCCCTCTCTCCTCCCTGGTGAATTGCAGGAAGATGCATCATGGATGGATTTTTAGTAATATCATATATGGTACATGTATTTCGAAAAAAGTTGAAAAAACCGAAACTTCACAAGGATATTTATGTTCCAGAAAATAATGATTCCTTCGTTCTTCCAATATTTAGATTGTACTCACAGCAACTTACGAGCGCAATAGAATACCTTATTGCACCCGTGACCCGGCTCCGCAGGACACGACCTCAATTACCGATATACCCCAGCTATTTGTCAACAAAATGACATACTTGTGGAAGAGATGAGAACAGGGCAGTTTCCTAGCTTCCTTCATCGGTTCCCAGCAGATTGCACAATTGTCTTGATTCTTCTCAACCTCCTCTTTGCTTGCCATTGGGTAACTGGAAAGAAAGGTTCATTTAAACCATATTTGTGAGTGTTCTGCCTCAGAATTGGACCCTCAGATCAGCCCTAGCAGCATTTTGGAAATTGAGTCGCGGAATAATCTAATCACCAGGAGTCCACAGAAGGACATAAGCTACCAACATTAGGACAAGCAGCTCGTATACAACCGGTCATCTTTGTTGAGAATGGGATCCGAATGGCGTCCGGTTAACTGCATCTAATACCAGTCACGGAGCAGCCAGAATAGCCCCTTGAGGCTAGTCGCAGATAGGTAGATATACAAACGGTACCATTATCACATCATTCATGGTGACTATTAGGTATAAAAACCGCAAGCGATATCGTGCATATCATCATTAGCTCGCCGAAACTATTATAGTTATATATCTTTAGTATTACATCTATACTAATATTATAAAGAGGAAAGATTTGTTTGTTTGTTTCGAATAGGCTCCGAAACTACTGGACCGATTTGAAAAATTCTTTTTCCATTAGAAGCCGACATTGTCCCTGATGAACATAGGATACTTTTATTAATTTTTTTGGTTTCATGTGTGTTTTAATGTTTCCGAAGCGAAGCGAGGGCGGGTCGCTAGTAACTATATATACTAGTGGCCGCCATGTAGTCGAAATTCAACTATAATTATTGATTTAAATTATAAGTTTCAACATTTTTATGATTCTATTGTCAAAGACTTCTATAATCACAGATTTCGCCAAGACTACACTATAGATAAATAATATTAAAAACAAACAATATTAATCTATTCTCAATTTGACCACAGACTTTAACAGTAAACAAAAGAGTATCTATGCGTGTGTGTGTCAAATACATGGTATTGTGTGTCATGTTTTTTTTTTTGTTTCAATGTATTTTTTATGCACAATAAAAAAAATAGTATTCTGCACTCCTCTATATTCTCTATAAGTGTAGGTAATATCATACTCCTCCGTCCGTGCAAGTTTCGTAAAAAGGGGTACAAATTTTTGCTACCCGTATTAATATATAGATATAATAAAAGAAACAAACTCATATGATCTGAAAGGCTATTTCGTGTTGACGTGAAGAACATTACACGCAGCACGTGACTTCTCCCTGCTATGCTATCTTCAAATTGACCAATAAAAAAATAGTTAGTTAATAGATAAACTCACAATCAATGATATTTATGATACTATTTATTGAATCGAGAATTTCCTTTTACCAACTTGAGATGCATTATTGTAAAAACCGCGATGACGTCACAGTACCGACAGCATAGCAAACGAATAAAACAATAGAAATAAAAAAAATGTATTAGTCACAACACGATTTGTTATTGCATTGTTATAATGTTTAAAACTCATTGCTTAAAGATTGTTTCATTATATGAGATATGCATAATTGGCTACATTTTTTACAGCCTTCATTGTTTGTGAATTCCTCAGCGCGCGTTCAAAATTAACATAAGCAATATAACCGAAGCTTACTCTATATAAAAAATGAGTATATGCGATACATCTTGTGCAGATCTGTACACCAGTGAGAAGATTATTCCTCAGAGTCGCCTTGCAAAAGCTCTGGCAAACTATACACTGGGTGTTAGGAGACCGCTTCCGAAAACGAAGACAGACAATAGTACTAATGACACCAATGATGATGAGACGGAAAAAAATTGATCATGATCGGAAAAAAAATCATATTTTTAAAACGTTTTATTAGCGTTATTTAAGCTCCATCATGTTAGTGCAGCTAAATGAAACGACAGTTTCATAAAAAATACATTACTTTACCAAAAAAACAACAACATTGAAACAATAAATCAAAAACTAAACTAAAAAATCAAAATTTTTTTAAATGTTTTTTCCCTTCCCGTCATCAAAGGTGTCATTAGTACTATCGCCTGTTTTCGTTTTCAGAAGAGGTCTACTAACAACCTAAAGTGGCCTAAAGGATAAGACGTCCGGTGCATTCGTGTGTAGCGATGCACCGGTGTTCGAATCTCAGGCGGGTACCAATTTTTCTAATGAAATACGTACTCAACAAATGTTCGCGATTGACTTCCACGGTGAAGGAATAACATCGTGTAATAAAAAACAAACCCGCATAATTATAATTTGCGTAATTACTGGTGGTAGAACCTCTTCTGAGTGCGCGCGGGTATTTGTATTTGTATTTGCCCTGCCTATTTGTATTTGTATTGGCCCTACCTATTTCTGCCGTGAAGCAGTAATGCGCTTCAGTTTGAAGGGCAGGGCAGCCGTTGTAACTATACTGAGATCTTAGAACGTATATCTCAAACTGCGTGGCGCATTTACGTTGTAGATGTCTATGGGCTCCAGTAACCACTTAACACCAGATGGGCTGTGAGCTCATCCACTCATCTAAGCAATAAAAAAAAACCCAGTATAAAAAGATAAATAGAGAAGGTCATTAAATAGCGGCCTCCCTTCCCTTATTGTCCTATTCAGCTGCACATTGTACTAGCTGACTGCACATGGCGCCTCTCACTCAGTCGAGTGGGTGCTGCTGATCTATTGGGGACCTAACTCGGGCTCACACAACAGTGCTGCTTGTTTCTTCTATCTGTGACTAGAATAATGTTCATTTCAATACGATGCAAGCTTATCTCCTGAGACACCGTGAGCTCATCTGCTATCTAATTTAACAACGCTTCAAGCCCGGGGGTCACGCGAGTTCTCACGTGACCTCCGGGACACGGTCTCGCCGGTGCGCACATCACTACTCAGAAGGAAAACCAACAAAATAATCAATATAATGACAAAATCAATAAGCACTTGTATTAGGTCACGTATAAAGAGTTAATGTTGTCACATTAATTGCTTAGTGATTATAGCACTAATAGCTTGAACCATAAAGTCTATAAGTATCGATATCGGTTACAAAATGTAATGACACGCGTTCGTTCATTACAATATGCATTACAATAATTTCCACTTCGATAAAGTGGCACGACACGAGAGCCCTCTCATCGTGGCCGCCGGTAACTACATTCCCGATCCTGCGGACAGAATGGAAAGCGGTCGACGTCGCCCCAAACACGTAATTTCGGATCCTCTCGATTCACTAACGGTGCTTTTAGGTACCTCAAGCACCGGTCATCGTTCTCGTCGAACCCGTCGCTTGCGACGAAGGGCTCGACGAGTAAATTAACCCACAGACACAGCTCACTGAGTTTCTCGCCGGATCTTCTCAGTGGGTCGCGTTTCCGATCCGGTGTTAGATTCTGCCAAGCACAGCTCTTGCTAGGGCTCGTGTTAGCAAAGTTGTCAGGTTTGAGCCCCGTGAGCTCACCTACTAGTTAAAGTTCCGCTGATATAGCATCTTAAGGCTATCAGCTTAGGTAGGAAAAAAAATGTATTAATTAGTAGTTCCACGGGCACAGCTTGTGGCGATGACCAGGTCGGAACCAGGTAGGTCTCTGTTTCAAAGTCAAAAATTATATTAGAGCGACTCAATATGAGATCGCCGTATATGTAAGATTGTGGTACCCAAACTTGTGAGGGCACCATACGTCCTCCCACCGGTAGTATTAGGGAGCAATTCACACTTTTATTTTATCGATAATTATTTTAAAGACACCGGTCGCTATAATGGTGGTAGGACCTATTGTGAGTCCGCGCGGACGGGTACCACCACCCTGCCTATTTATGCCGTGAAGCAGTAATATGTTTCGGTTTGAAGGGCGGGGCAGCCGTTGTAACTATACGAAGACTTTAGAACTTATATCTCAAGGTGGGTGGCGCATTTACGTTGTGGATGTCTATGGGCCCCAGTAACCACTTAACACCAGGTGGGCTGTGAGCTCGTTCACCCATTTAAGCAATAAAAAAATAAAAATTAGATCGTGCGCCCGTTGCCGATGTGTTGGCAAGTTATACATTTGCAGTTAATAAGTAGGTAAACGAATAAGTTAATCAGTAACCCAGCGTTTGGGTAATGTATAACAAAATCCCACAAGATGTTCAGAGCCTACATATACATAGGTTTAAGAAAACTATTAAAGAACATCTGTGCAATAAAGCTTACTATAAAGTCAATCAAGATTGCACAAAGTGGGAATGAGTTGCTCGCTCCGGGCATTTCAATATTGTAATAATTGTTACGTTATAATAATCATTGTAAAAATGAATATTTAAAAAAATCTAATATAATTTTTTTTATCTAATATTTAAAAAAAAAGACATGCCCGCTAAGTTTCTTGCCAGTTCTTCTCAGGACGGAGGCTAGTTTTTGTGAATTGGCGGTAGTTCTTTTTGACGTTCAACAAGAGTGTACTTTCATTTATGTTGAATAAATTTTTTTTGGTTTGATTTGATTTGATTTGTAAAACATGAAGGTCGTGAGGGACGCGGCAGGCCACGCTGCTAGCACACTGTAAGGGACTGGTTGAGAGGTGACGGTGACGTACTTGCGACTCATGTGGTCCGCGAGCGACGTATAGAGGCGGTGCCTCCGCAGCCGCGCCTGCAGCTCGTGCAGCAGGTGGCGGAGCTGCATGAGCAGCACCAGCGACGCCATCGACACCAACATGTTGCTGTACACCACCATGTGGACCACGTGCATCAGCTCGAGCACAAGGGACGCCGACTGCAAACGGCGGCGCCATTAGTGTTGCCGGGTGTGGAGTACTTGTGCAGTGTCAGGGTGCGGAGTACTTGTGCATTGTCAGGGTGCGGAGTACTAGTGCAGTGTGAGGGTGCGGAGTACTAGTGCAGTGTGAGGGTGCGGAGTACTAGTGCAGTGGGAGGGTGCGGAGTATTAGTGCAGTGTGAGGGTGCGAAGTACTAGTGCAGTGAGGGTGCGTGGTGTCGGAGCTTACATCGAAGCCGAGGTGCGTGTAGTAGGCGAGCGCGCCGGCCGCGTCCGCGCCGCGCTGCTGCAGCACGTAGCGCGCGCCCACGTGCAGCACCGACATCAGCACCAGCAGGCACTGGAACAGACCCACACAGGGAACTTGGAACGCGCTTTTATTACGGGTGGTAGGACCTCTTCTTAGTCCGCGCGGGTAGCTACCACCGCCCTGCCTATTTCTGCCGTGAAGCAGTAATGCGTTGCGGTTTGAAGGGTGGGGCAGCCGTTGTAACTATACTGAGATCTTAGAACTTATATCTCAAGGTGGGTGGCGCATTTACGTTGTAGATGTCCATGGGCTCCAGTAACCACTTAACACCAGGCGGGCTGTGAGCTCGTACACCCATCAAAGCAATAAAAAAAAACGCGCTACTCTCACTTCATTTCAATTAAGGTAACTTTTTTTTATTGCCCTTGTAGGCAGACGACCATATGTCCCACCTTATGGTGAGTGGTTACCGTCGCCCATGGACTTCAGCAATGCCAGGGGCAGAGACAAGCCGCTGCCTACCGCGAACGCATAACTACGCCGTGTCTCGTGTACATCGACGCGGGTGGAACCCACTAATGCAGATAAAATTACTTTCAATAGATGCAGATACTGCCCGCGCGTAGTTATAGAATAGACCTTCAGGATACCAACGATTGCGTAGGGAAAATAGGAAGAAAAATACAATACTTTTTAATTAATTAGTAAAGAAAGAGCAGGGACAACATGACAATAAACTATTCCACCCATTTGCTTTTTTAACCAGTATAGATTATATTGTAACAAAAACAATTCGTGTTATGCATATAAGAAATTAGTAACATAGAAATGTGTTTTGTAAATTGTGTTTTTTATCCTGATGCATTTCATATACTCTTAGTCAGTCAGTTATCTAAGCACGCGACGTGTCGGCGCAAGCACGTCGCTCGCGATTACCTCTATCTGCTCTCTGTTGTCATCAGTACACTACGTGCGCATCATGCAGCCGGTATCTCCCCTGTCCGCAGACTCGTATACAACTTGTAATCGATATCCAAAAATAAAACTTACTTCAGCAGCCATAAACGCGAAAGTATCCTTTCCGGCGGGCAAGCCCCATGCGACTGCAACACCCAATAAGGCAGTGGAGGCGGCCAGTATACCCAGGAGTAGACCGACCAGTCGAACATGCACCCAACGTGCTGTGTTGGGCGACGACGCTAGCTGAACAAAATATTCCCAAATTACAATTCGTCGTTGCAAATTTAAAATCTCCTATGTGTCATTTTGGGCCAAAATGATGTCATATATTATGAAAAAATCCTAAGTGTCGGTTTGTATTGTATTGTAGATCGAAGTATCCTATGTGCTAAAAAAATATTTGCATTTTTTTTTTCAGGAAGTAGTTTTATTAGATTTTCTCGAAAACTATATTTGTACGCGGGATAGATTTCACGACGAATTATAATAATATGCTAGTTCCTACACACAGGAGCTGTAAGCAATTTGTTCAACTTTAAAACGGGATAACCTTGTATCGGATCGGAATCACGACCCACTGAGAAAATCCGGCGAGAAACTCAATAATAGGCTATATCTATGGGCTGTGCCGTCGAACTCTTCGTCGTAATCGATAAGTTCGACGAGGATGGTGACCGGTGCTTGAGGATCCTTAAAGCACCGAGAGTGAATGCGGGAGATCCGACAAGACATGTTTCGGACGACGGCGGTTTTGCGTTGCTCCGTCTCGATCGGATAAGTCGCCGCTTTGTCGAAGTAGCGTTCCGACGCTTTCTTAAGATACTGTGGGCCAGTCCCTCATATACACTTACACACANAATCGATAAGTTCGACGAGGATGGTGACCGGTGCTTGAGGATCCTTAAAGCACCGAGAGTGAATGCGGGAGATCCGACAAGACATGTTTCGGACGACGGCGGTTTTGCGTTGCTCCGTCTCGATCGGATAAGTCGCCGCTTTGTCGAAGTAGCGTTCCGACGCTTTCTTAAGATACTGTGGGCCAGTCCCTCATATACACTTACACACAAATGGTACACATTTACATGGTACACATGTTAGTAGTATTTTCAGATTTTTAGTACATCTTTTAACGTGAGTTATCCTAGTTCTAGGATATTGTATTCTTTTGTATGGCCTAATACAGGACTGATTGCTAGAAGAGTGAAGAAATATTATCGCAGTTTGCTGTTATGTTATCTTAAGTTAATCAAGTTTAGCTAACTTACATATTCAAATCGATCCTTGCACAGCTGCCCCATCAGGTGCAGGAAGCCGACGAGAGTAAACCAAGAACACCACAGCATCACCTCGTCCATGTACTGAACGTTGATTACTCCGAAGATGAAGATGAATTTGTAGAAGACATAGTTCCAGAACTTGTCCTTGACGCGCTGAGCCTCAGAGACCCGGAGCTGACCGAAGACGACGCGCTGGATCAGGAAACCGAAGACGGCGAGGAAGCAGTACGCTATGTTTATTAATGTCTGTCAACAAAATATGATTATATTATAACAATAAAAAAAAATACGTTTGTTGGTACTTAGCTCCTCGTCACCGTCCTACTTATCGTAATCATAAACACTGTAAAAAGCTTCAACTGCACAAACAAAACTAGATATCTATTTTTCTCCTACCTACGCCGTTCGGTTTTCCGCTGTACAGGGAAGAAAGTCTAATTTTTCCTCCCGCTGTACAGGGATGAAAGTGTAACTTTTCCTCCCTGGGTACTGACAAGTGTGCATGCGCGTTATTGTCTACGTCTGCTCTCACGCACCTAAAATTCTCCGCCATTGTTGTGCTCGGGTAATTTGCAATATTGTGTTTAGTGTAAAAGTGAAATAAACAAAAGGCAATAAAATTTAAAAGTGAAGTATTAAACAAAGATGAGTTCATCAGACAGTTCTTATTCAATTAGTAGTAGTTTATATAAAAAATTTAAAAACTGTTAAATTGTTTTTTTTTATGAGTATAGGGGGGCTCGGCCCCCCACCAGGGCTTCGCCCCTGGTCCCCGGCTCGGTACTCTACGAACTTTCGGCCTGGTAGGAGAAAAAATAGTATGTGCACCGCGGGAAAAAGTAGGACATTTCCTTCAATTTTCTACCTTGGTGCACAATGTAGTATTTTATATATTTAAAGGTTAATTTAACAACATAGTCTGAAGATGGGCGACTGAATTAAATATGGGTTGTGTAATGTAGCCTCGTGTGCATTCAAAGAAATAGTTGCTATTTTATTTCGGGCATACAATAAACATTGTGTGAATGTGTACGTACATGAATAGATCGTTCCCGGATTAGTATATTGTTTATATAAAACACGTTAAGTCTAGATACATTCGTAATTGAAGCAGTCTGGTTCGGGTCGAGGTCGTTTACCCGACTCTGGATCTAACGAGAAACACGATTCTTTCATCAGTACTTACATTATCGACCATTCCAAATGAAGAGTATCTTGTGTACAATAAATGTTTGTTGAACGTGTTCTATGACATCCGATTCAAATTGGTAGCTATTGTTTTAGCAATTCCACGATAACATCTGATGCGCGTTATAATAATACAATCGACATACAACAATAGGCGATTCTGTATTCAGCGATTATCACAATATAGCTTGTGATTTAGTTTACACGGACACCTGAAGGGCACGATTAGTTTTTTTTTGCGTGTTGTTGCCGCGGGGCAGCCATGCGTCCCGTTTTATGGGTCTCACGTCTTAATACAATAGATAATATATAATAATAATCTAGACTTCGGTAGCTTGTCTCAAGGTTGGCAGCGACTTTAGTGTTGATTTTTGTGAGCTCCGGAAACCAGTTGTAAGTAGGTGGGTTGATGGCTCGTTTGATCATAAAGAGTAATAAAACCAGTGCTATCAATCATAAAGTCGAGATGTGAAACGTAGACAATGCGACGTCTTTGCGAAATTCAAAAAATTCAGCCAAGTTATTGACGTAAAGAACAAAGGAGAGGTCACGTTTGAATGGAGGCATTGAAGGATTTGTTCGGATGAATGGCCGGCGCTAGAGCCTTGAAAGAGTTTATCATTGCACTTAGTATAATGATTTCACGGCGGATTTCACATAAAAAAAAACATTATTGTTAACAAATTTTAGGTCCCTCACTTCATTTGAAGACGACCTAGATTCATAGTTGACTCAGAAGACGTCCTACCACCAGTAAATATGTAATAAATAACAATAAATATAAAAATTAAATCTGTTTTTAATAAGCGCTCGATGATGGTAAGTAATTCCATGTTGCACAGTGCACGTGTTAATGATCAATCACAAATGGTGGGCTTTAGTTTGAGCGCGGGTGCACGTGCGCTGTGTCGAACCGGCAAGTGTTCAGTGAGCAGCGCTCCTAGCGGCATAGGTAGGCAAACGTTCCAACTCCATACTTTGAGTTAACTTTTACGCTATCGAGACCGTTAAAAAACTCGCACTAAGCACACAGTACTAGTGTAAGCTGCTGCAAATTTGACAGATCTCTCTTTTGACTCACTAAGTCGATTCAGCGACGGCGTACAATAATAGGGTTCCGAGCTAAACAACGTGATCGCCCGCCAGAGTAAGTTAATTGAACAAAAAAATTGTAAACAAATACTGGCTTTTTATACCTAACCTCGATTGTTGTACGGAAACATCCGTAATTAAACCGCAAAACCTTCATTGCTTTGAGGAATGTTGAAAATATAAGGTCAGTACATAAACGCGTCGAATATCGCTGGATTTAATCTAACCAATCAAAGGATCGTCAGCGCGACGAACCCGTTAAGCCTTGCGTTGCTTAACAGACACAGACACACAGGGATATTGAACCGCATTGTCACCGTGGAGAGCACGATGAGGACTGCCGACTTGACCTGGAGTAATGTCAAGGAGCAAGCGCAAGACAGGGTCAAGTGGAGACAACTTGTGAAGGCCTTATGGACCAGCGGGGTACCCTAGGACCACAACAACAACAACAACAACATTGTCACTTGCTATTAAAAATTATTTTTTTGTCAGCGATCATTATTTTGTTTAAACCCTGGTACAACACCCAAGCTAACGAAACCTCAAACGAATACTTATCCCTAAAAAAGTCATGGTCACTCTTTGGTGATCTAGTGCCGGTAAAATTCATTACAGCTTCTTATCAAATGGCACCAGAATCACTGCGGATGTGCACGGTGAAAAACTGGACACAATAATGGAGTAACACGCAAACCTCCGGCTAGCTTTGGTTAACTCATACGATACAACAGACGGTCTCTAAGCTACAAGAGCTATAGTTGGAACTTTTGCTTCATCAAACGTACTTAATAGACCTTTCGCCGACAGACTTCTACTCTTTCCAAAGTTTGGACAACTTCTTGACAGGAAAATAATAAAGTGCTCGAGGAGTACAAAATGCCTTTGAAGAGTTTATTAGGTTCCGTGCACCCCGAATTCTTCAATAAAGGTATTGAAAAATCACCGCAGTATTAGTAGAGATGGATCAATACCATGTGTGCATACTTTGATCGATAAAAATAAAAAGTATTAATAAAAAATATATTTTAACTTTCTGTATACAAAACGGCAATTCCGTAGGGCATGACCTAATATAAAACATCAGGGACCACCCATTAGCAGTAGCAGGCGTCTAAATGGACATGAAATCCACTTCGATAAAGCGGAGCGGCACGGCATGAGAACCCTCTCATCGTGACTAATGGTAACTACATGCCCGATCCTGCGGACAGAATGGAAAGCAGTCGACGTCGCCCAAAACACGTCATTTTGGATCGTCCCGATCCACTAACGGTGCTTTTAGGTACCTCAAGCACCGGTCATCGTCCTCGTCGAACCCGTCGCTTGCGACGAAGGGCTCGACACAACCCACTGAGTTTCTCGCCGGATCTTCTCAGTGGGTCGCGTTTCCGATCCGGTAGTAGATTCTGCGAAGCACGGCTCTTGCTAGGGTTCGTATTAGCAACGTCGTCAGGTTTGAGCCCCGTGAGCTCACCTACTAGTTAAGGTTACGCTGAAATAGCCTCTCAAGGCTATCGGCTTAGGTAGGAAAAAAAAAGACATGAAATGCATTATCATTGTATGATTAACACGTCCCTTATTTTGGCCCCAAATAACGTTCTCAGCAATGAAGTTGCGTTCAACCGCCTCTTTACTTTGCAAATTTGACAATATGAAAGATAATTCTGGTTCCCTTATTAAAAAGTTGTATTTAAAATCACGCGTCTAATGCAGCTACTCGTATATCTTTCAATCCTTAACGTTTAAATAAAATTATATATCATTTTATCACCAATAAATAAGCGGGTACTTATTAACTCTCACATCTATCGAAACTTGTTTCTACATTAACAAATTGTAGAAATCACTTTCTCCGCTTTCAACGAAGTAATATTATTATAACGTCGAAATATTTTAAACTTATCCTTAAGGATACTTTCTCTGTGATTAAAAAATTAAACATCGCGGGAAGGCTGGCAGATGGGAAATGTTGATAATTTCTAATTGTCTAATAACATTTTTGAAGTATTTTTGCCGAATAGCGGAATCGTCACGTATATGTAGGTACACTAGGTCTAAATGACATCTTTAATATCTTTCAAATCCTAGTACACTAATAGGTTATCTCTTGAGAGTCAAAAATGTTACCTTTTTTCGTTTTATATAAACCAAAACTACGCCATTTACGTCTTCATTATATATATTCAATAAAAATATTATCCGTAAACAGTATACATACTTTTATCAGTTTTATCAAGCTGGCTAAATAAAAACATAAGTATGCAATAATATCGTATGTCATTTATTATTCAGACACGTTCAATCGATATAATCAGCTGCTTACCCTATTCGTTTATTTTACAGTGGGAAATATTAATAAATTACTTAATTATGTATTTTACATTGAAGGAACAGTTTTGCGGGTTCAGTGAGAAAAAGAACCGTCAAACAATTTCATACATACAAACTTTCGAGAGTATTGGGAATTTTGTAGTTGATATTTCGAGCGGTGCTCAGTATCGGAGTTGTTTGGGAGATAAGACCGATTTGGATTTTGTTGAAGTAGGTAATAGAAGTGGCGCTTCTCGTCTGAACAAATACTTGCGTTACAAAACATAAGTTCTGCTTTATATTCGGTACACACTACAACGATTTAACTGCACAGTTCGTTTGTGTAGTTTTATCGATAGTGTGGACCGAAATTGGCAAACTTTTTGGTTGGTGCAAACGATCGGAGGCATGGAGTACTGCTCCCATTATTCGCTTTCGGATGGGTTATCGAATAGAATCAGCTCGCTCAGAGCCGAAGAGGTTTGTCTAAAATCCTGGCATTACGGTTCATTCGCGCCCTCTTGGTGCACGGCAAAACTCGGTTGCTCAGCCTTTAAACTAACTACTTTATATTTATATTTTTAAATTCATTCCTATTATTAAAGCACTTAGATTCATTCAAAAACTTTTTTAGTTCTCAAATTTTCAATTTA